GCCATCATTGGAACAGAACAGAACAGAAGGACACAGCATGGTTTAAAATTAGGAAAGGTGTGTCAGGGTTTTATCCTTTACCCTGCTTACTCAGTCTGTATCCTGAGTAAATAACCCAAGAAGCTAGACTGTGTGAAGTAGAATATATAGCATCAGGATTGGAGGAAAGCTCCACAACAACCTATGTTATGCAGATAACACAACTTTGCTTGCTAAAATTAAGAAAACTTGAAATAATTGTTGATGAGGCTCAAAAACTGTAGCCTTCGGTATAGATTACACCTAAGAGAAAAAAAGATTACACTTAAGAGAAAAAAAAACAACACATCACAATTGAACCAAAATGACATAATAAATGGAGGAAAGATTGAGATTGTCAATTTCATTTTTCCCGCATTCACAGTCAACATTCATAGAAGCTGCAGTCAAGAAATAAAATAACTTATTGCAATAGGCCTATTTGGTGCCAATTTCCACATTAAAGTGCTAAAGAGTAAGGATGTCAGTTTGAAGACTAAGGCATATGTTACTTGACACCTGGTATTTTCAGCTGCTTCAGATGCATGTGAAAATTGTATGATGAAGAAGGAAAATCAGAGAAGAATTGAGTTTAAATTGTAGTGTTGGTGGGCAATATTGAATATGTCATATACTACAAAAAGAAGAAACAAATCTTCCCTGAGCACTTGTTGTAAGGTGCCATCAAGTTGACTTCGACTGATAGTGACCCTATGAGCAATTCATCTTAGTGCAGCCAAAATACTCCTTAGAGGCAAGGATGGTCAGACTTCACATTTCATATTTTGGGGATGTTATTAGGAGAGACCATACCCTGAAGAAGGATCTTGTGCTTGGAAAAGTAGAGCATTGATCAAAGAGAGGAAGACTCAGTTGTTTGTGACCCTGTCACTGATGACTAAAGACTCAATGTAAAGGTTTATGTTGATGGGATGTAAAGTCAAAGAGTTGTTGCTACCTGTTAAGTTTTCTTCCAACCCGAGCTAACACAGCTGAACAGAACTCTCCCTCGTCTGTGTCATCCTCATGATCAGTTGTGGATCACACCACTATCATCCACACGGGCTTCACTAGACCTCTCTTCCCTGTCTGTTTCATCTCTGAAACCTGTTAGCATCATAGCCTCCAATGGGGAATCAGTAGAGGCTGAGGCTCACTGGTAGGAAATCAAATCTGGGTCATCTTCATGAAAGGTGGTAATCCCACCTCTGAATCACTCGCATGCTTGGTAAGGAGTAGGTACCTTAAGTTCATCCACCACCGTTGAGAGGAGAGAATGTTCCAATTTTTTTTATTCTGAAAATTGCAATGGGCAGGAGTAGTATTGAGTTTGAATATTGAGACACATTTATGTTTTCTTTTATTTAAATTTATAACAAAGTTTTCCCATATGTTGACTTTTTTCATATCTATTTCTCACTGTCTAGATGGCTTTGGAAGACTCAGAACAGAAGCACAGTCTTTTATATTCCATTTTCTCAGATCTAGAAGACTTGTCATTAATTTTTGAAACAGATGACTTAGCACAGTCGGTACAACAGTTAAGTAGTCAAGTGACAGATTTACAACAAAAAATAATGGAAAGTTTGCCACAGATTCAGAGAATGGCTGATGTAAGTTTGCATTTTGAAAATGTAATTTCTCCATTTAAATTTATACTTCATTTAGGAAATGACTATTCTGTTGCTAATTAACTCCTTATTATGTAAGGACAAATTGGTCTGGTAAATTTGTCATGTTCTTGTTTCTTGGCAACTTGACTTTGCAACCTGCAGTGGACCTATCATAAAAGAAATAAAAATAAAATAATTCTACTTCTTATTTTCAATCCAAAAGGAGTCTGTTTTAAAGAGGAAAGAATCTAGTTCAAATTCAGTGTTTTCTTTTGCTGGAGACCCAGCAATCTTGTTAAATTCAGTGCATAAATGAACAAAAAAAGATAATTATATCAGATAGGTTCTGGATTCTTCATTCTCTAACAGCAAATATTCTCTCCGTGGCTACTGTGAAAGCCAATGCATTTTTAAGTCATTTTACTGCCTTCCAGTTGAAACACTTGAGATACATATTTAAGTATAGAGCCACACAACAAAGACAAGTACTTAATTATTTGTTTTATTTCTCATCAACTTCCCTGGCACACTCTTGTTACCATAAGGAAATGACTGCTAAAATAAATATCCTGGGTTATAGACACATAGTCCAAACTTGTAAAACGTTTCTATTTTTTTTTTTCTTGAACCGTGCAATATCCACTTGTAAATACCTTCTTAGATAAAAGATGCAAAACTAGTTTCAACTGCATAATTTGGAGAACTCCATCAACAATTACTTACTGCTTCATTTATTTCAGGTTCATAAAATTAATTTTGTTTCTACATTGAATAAGTCAAAACTACTATACTTTAAAATCCTCAGTCTATTACTGTCTAGTTTTTTAATTCTCTTCATTAGTAGCTGTAATTTCTTATAGTTGTTGAGCCCCAGCCTGGAGCACTAATGTAAAAGTCTGAAAGGCTTCCTATAGTAAATGAATTTTCCAGCATATATTTCTACTTCCATTTGCAGCATTTTTACTTTAAGATTTTTTTTTACCAACGTAAACACTTTGAGAAAATAACCCATGGATAACTGATTGATCTATTATATAAACTAACCTGAGTGGGTTACAGAATAATTTATTGACTCTGATGGCCATAATTCACTAGGGGATTTATAAGAAAATCTTGTCAGTCTTCCAGCTTCTGTGATATTTTTCCCAAGAGGGATTTTATCATTTTACTTACAGTGGTGGGAATTTTTTAAATGCCAGACCACTTGTATTCAGGTGCTTAAACACATTCCAAAGGTAAATCTAAAGAGTTTGTAGCGAGTGCAGAAATTACTTTACAAAATGGTCCAGATTCATGCTACTTCTGTTCTCATAGTGTAATTGAATACCAGCTCCATAAAGATCTTACATTCACCAAGGAATATACAGTACTTCAGAGTGCAGTATGCTGTTACCTTGTTGAAAACAGTCACTGTTGTCTGTGTCATATAGTCTTAGGATAAATAAATGAAAATAATTTTTTATTTTGATAAGAAATCAGAATTAATGGCAATAAATTGTTTTACATAGATTATTAATTACTGTTGCTTAAATTCTAGGATGTGGTTGCTATTGAAAATGAAGTAAAATTAATGGAAAAGAAAGTTTCAAAAATCAAAACTATATTGTTATCAAAAGAAATATTTGACTTTTCACCTGAAGAAAATCTTAAGCATGGGGAGGTAAACATGAACTATTATTAAAATATTTTCTAATAATGGTTTTTATGTCCATTGTTAAGTATTTGAAAGTATACAGTGATTTTTTTAAAAAGTCTTCCTAGACACACAACAATGTAAAACAGGAAAATAGGTTTGAAGGACTATGAATAGTATATTTCTTTTTAAACCATTCTTCATCTAGGTGTGATTTATACAATATTTGTCCTTTTGTGACTGACTTGTTTCACTTGACATAATGTCCTCTGTATTCATCCATATTTGTTATGCTGTCTTTCTTGAATTCTTTTATTGCTCTTTAGTGTTAGATATGTTACTGTGCAGCACTAAATAGAATATTTTACACAGTATCCATTGTACTAGCTACATAATCTCCCAATAGGATATTTTTTCATTAAGTTGCAAGTTTTAAAGTACAGATAGAACATAACATCACTGTTATAAAACAGGACTGACTTGGGAGTTTGGGAAAAACTAAGAAAAGAGGGGATAAATAAAAAACATTGTATTGGAACAGATGAAAGTAAGAACTGTTTAAAAGGAATATATGGTTAGGCATTATTTGTATGACAACAGTCCGGAATAAGAGCTGCACAGCAAAGTGGACTAGGGGAGGGGTGAGACGGAGGGGAGAGGAAAAGAAGAGGGAAAAGGGGTTTGGAAGTATTTGATAGTCCAAGAACTTGGGCAAATAAATGAGTGAGGACTGGGTTGCAGTCCCAGTTACACCACTGTCTGACTCCTCTGGGACTCTTTTTCATACCTGTAAGGTGAAACTGAAATGATTACATTGACGGGTTATGATGTATGATATGAAACAGGAGAGGATGTTAAGCATCAGGTGAACCTCAGTTCCTCCTTAGCCTAATGAGGAAGAGTCCCTGTTTTAGGATCAGGCACACCCTGAGTTTAATCTCAGCCCTGACTCTTGCACCATTACCTTGTCTGGACCTTCTAATCCAACTCCTTGAGTGAAAGACGAGCTGTCTTCTCCCATGCAGTTTATTTATAATCTTCAAAAGCCAATGAAGGGTCTGCTGTGAGTCAATTCTTACTTGACAGCAGTGAGTTTTGGTTTAAATGAAATGTATTTATATGAAATTGTTGTTAAGTGCCGTCGAGTCAGAACAGACTTAATCATTGATTTTCCAGTGGGTTTTCAGAGGCTATAAATTACATGGGAGATCACCACCCATCGTACTTCCTTAGAGCAGCTGGTGAATAGGAACCACATGCAGTTGGGTTGGTAGCATACATCACCACTGAAAAGCTCTTCTAACTTACTAGTTTTATGAATCTGGGTTTCTGTGGGTTGACACTGTTAACTCATGCAGATTCTCATTGCTGCAGAGTCGAAACCGATTCATAGCTGGTCCTCCAGTGGGTTTCCAGGACTGTAAATCACACAGGAGGAGATTTCTCATCTTTCCATCAGTGAGCCAGTGGTGGATTGGAACTACCAGAGAGGCACAGCCTCTGGGTATATAGTGCAACTATCTGTAAACTAAACCACCAGATTTCCCTGATTATTATTAAAGCAAAATATAATGAATTATGCTTTTAAAGATCAAAGAATTTTGAAAAGACAGTTCACCTCAGTAAGCATTTTTTGAGGTCCTACTGTGCAGAAAGCCTTGTATTAGATGTTGGTGCTACAAAAGTAAGATGAAATCCCTGCCCTTTTATAGCTCATAGCTCATTGACAGTACAGAGTGTTATACATACAACAGTTCTACAGAGAAAGACAAAGGAGAGAAGAAAGGATAGGGTGTCCAAAGGGACAATTTAGTGCTGGTCGGTTACTTTCACCTCAACCAGGCTCTCATGAGACCTTAATTTACTGCGTCACAAATGATCCAATTCCCATTTCGAAGCTGGATGAAGGGAATATTTAAAATTGAAATAAAGTCTGAGTCACGTAGTGTTACAACTATAAATAGTTAAATATGGCAGTCTTTCCTCCTCCCCCCACCCCTCCACCCCGGTCTTTTTTAATTGCCTTCTTTTCCCCATATGTAATTAAGGTCATCCTTGAAAATATACGTCCCATGAAGAAAACCATTGCTGAGATAGTTTCTTACCAAGTAGAACTGAGGTTACCGCAAACAGGAGCAAAACCTCTGCCTGTTTTTCAGCGGACAAATCAGCTTTTACAAGATATAAAACTATTGGAAAATATGACCCAAGAGCAGAATGAGTTATTAAAGGTAAGTAGAACATGATAGCATAGACTGTATTTCATGAAAGTAGTAGCCAAAAGCTGGCTTCCTTTTCCTTTTCAATGAATGGGCAGGTCTGATTCCCATGTGACAAGATGCTGCCTCCGTGGACTCTTTTGGTCTCCTCCAGCATCACTGTCTGGGGTTGATTTGATACATGAGCATTTCCTCCTGCCCAAATGAGGGTCAGGTTACTTTTCTCAGAACTTGTTCTGGTTCAAGGCTTTAAAGCATACTTATGGCCTGTTTAATGCCACTCACAGTAATTGAAGACCTACATGCACAAAGTGGTGATTGGGGTGGGTGGCATCGTGTTGGTTCCAATCATTGTAATTTGAATGTAATGAATGTGTAATGAAACAGGAGTGGCATCCACTTCCTAGATAACATGCGCCTAGAAACCCTATGAACTTGAATAAATGTCAGTAGTTGTAGAGGGGCTTCAGACCTTTTGTTCATAAGGTCGCTATGAGTCGCGCTTGACTCAAACACAATCAACAACAACAACAACCATCTCTACGAAGCCTGGCTTCCATGGCGCTGTTAGGTAGGTTCAAACCACCAGCTTTATAGTTAGCAGCAGGGCCCTTAACTATTGCTCCATGAAGTCATGCATAAGGTGACGTGGAAATGTTCAAATCCAAAAAGGGCCTTTGCAGTTACATGAGCCAGACTGACCTTTTGTATTAACCCTCTCTCTCATGTCATTCTCAAGCAGGATACAAGTAGAGCATGCACTCTGCTATCTTTATTTTTATGTAGATGGAGTTGAATGCCGAAAGGCTAAGAATTTGCCAACAGACCACCCAGTTAATTTGTTTGGCAACTGCTCTGTGGAGATAGGGCAAAAATGAGAAATTTTAGACTTCTAGTATCATTCTCCATATTGAGAAATTAGGCATTATCACTTAGTAGAAACACCATTTTATTTTGGTTTGTATTCCTTGATCAACAAGCATTCTCACAGGAACAGAACATTGGAGAGATTCAGAGCCTTAAATTTCTGATTTGGGAGCCACTTTGGTGCACTCTGCTGCTTCTTCTGATTAGATGGGGCCATTTAAAAGAAGGAGGATGTTTCCTTCTTTACAGACCACTACCTGCTTTTGAGAAAACTGCTATATCTTTCCCGCTCTTAAATTTCATTCATAATTTAGGGGTCACAATTTGTTCTCCTAAGATGTGAGGGTGCTGTCCTCTCGGCTGTGGGTTCTTGGTTCATACAGTCTGTCTTGGCTGGCTCCCCAAAACTGCTATAATTTCCTGACATTGCAGGGAGAAAAAAGGTCTGACATTCAATGCACTATTTCAAAAAGAAGAAGGAGGAGGAGAGAATGTAAAATTTGTACCATTATTTTTAATCTTTTTGTTTCTTATTGGTCTCCTAGTCAGGAAAAGGAAATAACGACCCAAAGTATTATGCTTTAAAGTCACTTCTTCATACAGTCAAAGGGGAAATAGGTTAGGAAATTATATTTTGTGCCATCAGATACCAAATGGTGTTGCTGAAATTTTCCATCTCACTTTGCTGGTGGAAATCTGTTATCGCCTCATACATTTCAAAATGGATTAAGCCAGTAGTAATAAAAATCATTAGAATGTGGTGCATTTCTTTTAATTCCTATATTATGTAGTACCCTCATTATACAGAGAACAAGACTAAATTACCTTTGAGGAAAGGAAGGTGATGTAGCTTATTACTGAAGGCTGGAGAACAGGTGTTTGCAGCAAACATAGTTACTAATTTCTAGCTTCCAGCTCAAGTTATGGTTAAATATTAAAGAAAATACAAGGGAATATTCTGTCTTGATCAAAAACTTTATCTTTCTGAAAGGCATTTTGCCCCATTGTGAAACATACAATGGAAAGAACTAGTTTTTCATTTATACTCAATTTCCTTATCTTGGCTCACCATGCTTTGTAGGAAAGTTTTTTATGTAAAAACCATGTTCCATTTTTACCATCTCTAAGTGTATAGTAAAGTGAAAGTAATTGCACTCACCATGTTGTGCACCCATTCCCACCTTCCATTCCCAAATATCACCCCAAACAAAAATCAAGTGCCCCTTTACCAGTAACTCTATTTTCCCTCTTTTCCCAGCCCCTAGTAGCCACTGAGAAACATCTCTCTTTCACCATTTGCCTGATCTAGATATATTATATACATAAATCATACTGTAATAGTCCTTTTGTGATTCCTTATACTTTGATTATGTAACTTAATTTACCCTTGGTTATGAACTCTTCTAGTTCCATAACTGGGAGCTCTAGTAATAAAAGTTGCATTGTCAACTCATAGTTTAACAGTTCAAATCCACCAGCTGCTCCAAGGGAGAAAAATGGACACTCTCCTCCCATGCAATGTGTAGCCTTTGAAAGCCCACTGGAGGGTCAGCTATGAGTCAGTTCTAACTCAGTGGCCCATAACAGCAGGATCAGTCTCATAACATGGATTCCAGGTTCTGCTCCTCTTGGTTTGATCGTATTCCTCATATTCAGACTAACCTTGGTCCTTCAGCTTCTGGCTCACAAAATGCTTCTCACTTATCTGGAACAGTGTCAGGTGAAGATGTGGCTGGCCTGGAAAATGTCATCATTATTGTTACTAGAATACTCAGATCATAGGTTCTTTTCCTCCAAAATCAGTCTTGTCACCTTCCTGTGTAGAAAGTGCCACAGGAAGTATGAATCACAGTGGTGTATGTGCTAGACATATCATCATTTCATAAAACTTGGCAACTTTATATTTACATAATCATAAAATATTCCCTAACATAATCCCTATAATTCTGGAAGTACTTAAGAGCAAAGGTCTCAAATTATATTCCAAACACTTAATTTAATGCTCTAGAGCTAGTGATGCAAGGTCAAATGTCAGCGTTGCAAAACATTCTCTTTAACTTACCATTTTGTGCTGTAAACTGCCTGGGTACGTGTTTGCTGTAACTGCCTGAACTTCTGACAGGATTTAAAAAAAAAAATAAATTCAAACTTGTTGCCCATTCATTTTAATTTATTGCAATCCTTAGTGTGTCAGAGAAGAACTGTGCTCCACTGGATTCTCAGTAGCTCATTTTTTCACAAGGCTTTTTTCTGAGGTTGAAATGGACTCATATGTTTAACCTCTTTGTGGCTATAAGTGTGGCTTAAATGTGCACAACTCTGTAAATTCCAAACAGGGATACAGAGAGACCTTAGAAATAACCATTAGACTAGTCCATTATCCGTATGTCAAGAGTCTTTTTTTTTACTTTATAGATAGTCATAAAACAGAATAATGAATATGATGAAGAAATAGAAAATTTAAAAGAGATCTTAAATAATTATTCAGATGAGTTCTCCCTTGGATATATGTCACCAGAGCAAGCTGCCAGCCTGCCGCAAGTACAGGTGCGTTTCTTTTTTATTTTATATTTTGGTTTTTATATATGTTTTACTATATTTTGGTTTTTATATATGTTTTACTCACATATATATTGTTCATATGTTGTTCACTTACATTGTGTTTCTCGCTATTCTTCATTCATACTGTTTCACACTATTCTTCATTCATATTGTTTCATACAATCGTTGCCATGCATTATGTTTTATAAAATCAATCACCGTTGAGCCTTGCTCATCATTACCCAATCTTTACTGGTCCCTGTTAGATCCTTCTCATATCCTTCACCCCCTTCCTCTACCTACTAAACTTTGCAACCCTATGCTTATCTGCCAGGGGAGATACTATGATCACAAATGTGCCCCCCTGTGGCTACACCCACTCTGCTCCCATCCCTTTCCCCCTGGTATCCCCATACATTTTTTACTAGTTATCCTTCTGTTTTTACGATAATGGTCTTATGCAGTATTTGTCCTTATGAGACTGAGTTAGTTCACTCCACATAATGCTCTCCAGTCTCTTCAGAGTTATGTAGTATTTTTCTAAATCATTGCTCCTGAGTGCTGAATAGTGTTCCATTGTGTGAATATGGCACAATTACTCAATCCATTAGGTTTTAGTTGGACATTTGGGATGTTTACATGTTCCTGCAATGATGAATAACACTGCTATGAACACTGATGTACAAATCTTCATTTGTGTCTCAGTTCTAATTTCCTTGGAGTATATATTCCTAGTACTGCAATACTATGTATTGGAATGTCTGTATTCAGCTTTTTTGAGGAAACACCAAGCTGTCTTCCAGAGTGGTTGGTACGTTTTTTTTCAGTCCTTGATTCATCTTGGAGTTCATTCAACTATCACTAAGTCATTGCGATTAGAAGCCTTTATGGGGATACACTATACTTATTTGCTACTCAGCTGCTGCTCGGCTTGAAGGGATTTTCTATGTATCTTTCCGTACCATTCTTTCATAAAATAGTGATTACCTGGTAATCACAAGTTAAGAGTTTTTAAAGCATAGCCCCTCTAAGGTTTGGTGTTAATAGATAAAGTTAAGCCTAGAGAAGCTTAGGCATCCCTAACCCCAGAAACAAGAAAGCTAGCTACACCTCCTTCCTTAATTGTGGGGGGCCCTTCAATTGCATTTAGCCAGAGCTTGGCTCACCTGGTCTGAGTTAGCGCTAGTATCTGGTACCTGACTTTCAGGCTAGTTTTCTGGGTAGGCATCAGACATTTGGGGCAGGCTAGGCCTTAAGAGGTAAAGATCCTGAGCACTGTTACATAAAGAAGATTTCCAAACACCAAGCAATGTTTTCATGTCTCACTGATCATGCCATGTTTGACAGTGTAGGCTGAGTTGGATGGATTTTATGTTATTCCTCTGTTGCCCTATTTTTTTTTTCATTCTCTCTTTCAGAATTAATACTTGGATAACCAAAGAAAGCCTAATTATGTGCCAAATATAGTTTGGAAGCTGCATTTTTTTTCTTGCCATCAAATTGATACGGCTAGGCAGTTTATATGTTTATTAAAGAAAGGGTATACTGCGTGGTAACTGGGAGACTTTGCAAGTTCCTAATCATCTGTGCTGAAGCAAAGAGGGACAATTGGTGTCCTGTTTTGATTTATGCCAAGTTCCTGAAAGTGTTACTCACCATTGTTTTCAGGCCTTTGTTGCAATACAATAAAAAAGGCAAGTGAGGCTGGTGATACAGTACTGTGAAAATAATCCTGACCTCACGGACCTTTAGACAACTTTGAGAAATCATTGGTCTGTGTCCTCCTACACTTCCATTGTGGTGTGTTTCAGCAGTCTGCTTTCCTTCCCTAAGTCTTACTCTAATGGCTATACTGTAACTTTTATTGGGAGGCAGTACACCATTGGAATGTAGTGTTTATCAGAATTGGAGCAGAAGCTCCAGCTAGCTTAATTGAGACAATTATTATTTCCCGAAAATAATCATCAGGACTTTCGGCTTCAGGCAAATAATAGTATTAGACATATGTTTAGAGCAGAAGGAACCCGAGGACTGGTTTCAGGAAGCTCAGATTTCTGCTCTGTCTCTGAACAGCTACAACTATGAACAACTTGCCTGTGTTTTCTGGATTTTAGAGCTCTTCTTTGTAGGTAGGAATATGTTACATTTCATTGTCAAAAAAGTAATAATTCTTTTCATTTCTGTGGGCTAGTGTCTTTTCATATCCCATGGTATTACTAAATGTTCTTAAGCAACATTTTTAACAAAATAAGAAAAATTATAGAGTAGAGGTTTAAGGAATTTTCTAATGGGGAGAGAAGAATTCTATTTGTTCCTTCCAGTGAAGCTTTTCTGAAAAGGCACAGGTTAGAATCCAGACAAAGTTGAATGGCACATATCAGAGATTCAGGTGAGGAAAATGTTAGAATGGATGGATGACATGAAGTGTCTTCCAAGAGTAGGATTTAAATCTTAGAACACTGGATATCTGCATATAGTATAAGAATTTTTTAAAAGAACATGATAAATCTTGGATTCATTATCCATCATTTCCATAATGAGATACACTTCATGGGATTGTTATTTTTTATATGTTGTTTTCTTTCAGTGATTCCCAAACATTAATCTGCTTAGGGATCTTCTGGAAAACTTATTGAGGGCAGCTTCCTGGGACTGAACCCATGGGCTGGGTCCAGCCACACTTATGGCATCCTCTAAAGCAATGAGTTCCAGCCCCAGCCCCATGCCACAGCCGTCTGTGAAGCTTATTATCATCTTCTGGCCTTGATTCTAGGCCCCAGGGATTCTAGTTTACAAAGTGAACTAGATTCTAGTTTCAGGTGAGGCTAAGACTTCCTACTAGTTATAAAGCTTTCACAAGTTCTTTGGAAATACAGGCTAGAGTAATACTATATTGTACAAGAGACAAGCTCCTGGCTCAGCAAACCACACAGCATAGAAAAAACTTCAGGCCTTCTACCAAAGCAAGTTGGTTCCTGGTGAACAAGCAGAGGCCCCAAAACTTCCTAAAAGTACACACTTTTTTCCTGCACAGAAAGAAATAAACAGTATAGAAGAGCAAATTTTGAGTCTCAATCAGAAAAAAGAAGACCTGTTGGTGAACTTCAAGGCTACAATACTAAACCTCCACCAGCATTTGATGCAAAAACAGCAAGAATTAGAAAAAGAAATGTCATCTACTGCTGCACCAGAAGATGGAGTGGTTGAAAGGGATGTCTCTGAATGGAAGGTGAGTAGATGTTGTTGTTGTGTAGTGCTAATCCCACAATTCACAAGCCTGTTAAATGGTTTATATTTAATACCTAAAAAGCCACTGGAATCTGAATCTACATATTATAATACAGGAATTTAAGCAGTAGAAATACTCCACTTGAGTTTATTTACGAGTGAGTATAAATCCTTAAGGTGTGTCTGTTTTGGACTCAACCCAGAATTCTGCCCAAGTTATTTAATGAGGTGCTTAGGAAATTCCATGGGCAGGGAGATGGGAGCCACCCTTTAAAGTATCTTCCTACTGAATAGACAGCCCATTGCAGACTCAAAATAAGAGCACACTCCTTCCCTAAGCCTGAACTGAGTCCATGCCCATGAACCACATTCTTGAATTGCTCAGGTGAGGGCTCCAGGAAGCAATGCAAATAAAAGGGATCTAAGGTTTGATGAAGTTAGGCATCTGGCTGCATGAGATGAGAGGTGATGGACACGGTGGGTGGGCAGCCTGGATGAAGTGAGTAAAATATTAGCTACACAAAAATGTGGCCAGGCAGGGACTGTGTGATGGTCAAAGGCAGCCCGGCTGCTAGAGTTTTTGTGCTGCTGTGCCTTGCAGGTGAACAGAAGGGGCTCCATGTCTCTCCTCCCCGCCGTTGTGGAAGAGGCAGAAGAAGGCTCTGTGAAGAGTGAAGTAAGGAAATTTTCATGCTAAAGTTTGTTACAATCGAAATCTTAACAATTGTCAATAAAAAGAGTAGAAATAGGGTTTGTCTCTTAAAAGGGTGACTAATGTAATTCTCTGTTCATAATGTTGTTCGACTGTCTAAAGCTACATTACCACAGAAGAGTGGAATGGATGTAATTCAGGCATTTTTAATCAGGAAGCAGAGGAAGAAATTTTTTGGAATATTCTGTCCTGTGAGTAGTTCCTCTGAAGGTTTGAGAGTGTGCTATTCAGCACACTTGGTATATTTTTGGGAACTTTATGTTCATTTTACATTTTAGTCTAAAATATAATTGCTGAGAACATACCTACTTGTGTTAAGAACAAATACTACAAATTCTTATGTTTTTGTCACTCATGGAATGATGCATTTTCAATTGTCTCTCCTAACTTTGGTTCCCAAGATTCAGTCATGGTTGTCTGGGGTGAACAGGAGGGGATCTTGCTTAAGGGTGACTAAGTTTTTATTTAGAGGTGATAAGAAAAATAGAGATCAATAGTGATAATTATTGCACAACATAGTGCATAGAAATTTTTTGAAGCACAAAGTTAATAGATCTTCTAAAAAAATCAACACTAATAGTTTGTATGCCTTGCATATTAGACATTTTCATGCTATAGAAAATAGACTGTTCAGTGGTGCCATTGTTCACACCGAGCAGGCCAGGTCTCTAATATACCACTGCCTTTCCTCTGGTAAGGCCCCTAGGTGGCACAAGCATTTTTCAATCAGCTACAAGCCATTGATGCCAAAGCAGTTTGCAGTAGGCTCCTAAGGTTGATGGTTTAAACTTACCCAAGAGCTCCATGGACTGAAGAACAGGGATCTGCTTCTATAAAGAATACAGTTTTCTGTGAATAAAATCCTGCTGAGCAATTCTTTTATGAAGCACATAGGGTTACCCCAAGTCAGAATTAACTCATGACACTGGGTTTGGCTTTGGTTTAATCTCTTCTGAGTTATTGGGTGAGGAAGCATTAGTAGGATGAGCAAGATTGTAGTGTGCAAGAGTGTGGATTTACTGATCACACCCTTGTTATCAGACAATTTCATTTTCTCCCTATACTCCTTTAGGACACAGAGAAATTTAAGAATGGAGGGAGGTACTAGACCAAGGGAGTGCCTGCCAGTATGATTTCATTTGAGGCACATATCTGCCTCAACGATGATATGTTTAAACTCTCTGTTGTTTATCTTTGCCTTTAAACAATACAGGTACAGTTCATCACACTGTTATTTTTAATGATACATTTTACTCAAGTTGACTAAGTTTCTAAAGCAGTTTTCTTCTGAGGATCCTCTTTTAGTGGTAGGAGCAGATTCTCAACTTTTAAAATATTTTATAAACTACAGGAAAGGATAAGTATCCTTTCCGTTTAATACATGTTGGGAAGCAGGAGTGGCATCCACTTCCTAAACAACATGCCTCTGGAAACTCTATGAACTTTGAGAAATGAAGAGAGTTATAGAAAGGCTTCAGGGCTTTTGTTCATAGGGTTGCTGTGAGTTGTGCTCGACTCGATGGCACTCGACAACAACAGGAGAAGTAGAGAGTTCTAGAGGTAAGAAGCTGCACTGCAATCCCAGAGGCACATGGTTCAAATCCACTAGCTGCTCCACGGGAGATGAGCATTCTCCTCCCATGTGATTTACTGTCCCTGAAAACCAGTCAGAGGGTCAGCTGTGAGTTGGTTCCTGCTCGGTGGAACACAACAGCACAGGAAAAATAACTACATGATTTAGAGCCAATAAGTGAAAAATAGAGAGTGGGCGGGATTAAGGCCACAGTTACTCCTCTGGGATATGAAACCAGTGTAAACAAGGGGAATAAGATGCTAGTTATGATGGTAGAAAACCACTGATTTGGTAATTGATTACTTGTATTAGAATGGAGATAAGAAAGCAGAGCCCTCTTCCAGTTCTTGGTCATTACTCGGGGAGCACAGCAAGGACACAGAAGATGACAGAGCCTCCTCATCTTCTGGAACCATCATTCAGGTAATGCTGAGCTCATGTCATGGTTGTTGGGGAGGGGCTGGTTTTGGTCCAGCTTTATTTAATCCTACTTATTCTCCTCTTCCTCTTTTCATTTATTTGGTATTCAGTTGCCACTTCCCAAACCTTTAAGATGCCTATCTGTAGCCAAAGAATAAAAGTAGGTCAAAGAGAAGACATTATTTTTTTTGAAGGAATTTTGGGGAAGGAAACCTGCTTGGGTGAAACCTTTCTGTTTCTGCACATTCCACCCCCAAATGTAAAGACAGCCTAATTGATTAGAAGGATAATAATTTTTTTTGGGGGGGGGAGGAGACACAGTATGTGAAAATCTAAACTGACAATGCAGGTTACTCCAAAGAACACTTAAAATTCTACCACAGTTCTCCCTTGGGCACATTGCCTCTCAGTGTAGAGCCGGCAGGAAGAGATTCCCCATAATCCTTTTTTTTTTTAAAAAAAAAAAACAAAGCCAACTTATGATAAATCAAATAACCTTCTCCCTTCTTATAATGTTCTAAATGTTCAGTCTCTCAAAATAGAGGGAGATGCTAGAAAATCTGTATAATCTGGTGTTGAAAAGTTTGTTTTTCTCCTAAAAGTTTGACACCTGCGTCTTCACATACCTCTGCCACCTACCCAGGGCTGACCTTTTCCCCAGCTCTCGTGTTCACCCTTTTGTTAACTGCTCACACCACTCTCTGCTTGTATATGCATCCTGAGCCTCGACCTCTTGTTTGGTGTTTTCCTTTACTTCTGAAATAAAGTTTTCCACTTCTACCACGTTTGCTCCTTCACTCCTTTTCCATTCAGAAAACCATGACTCATCCCTTATCTCAGTAGATGCATTACATCACTAGAATGCCCACTTTCCCTGTCTGCCTTTAGACTTTCTGTCAGCCCTCAAAGATCTATCTCACCTTCCCTCCCCCTAAAAAAAAAAAATCCACAAGAGATCCTTTAAGAGAATTGTGTGTCTTAGTCTCTTGATTTTCCCGTAGACTTCTGAACATCTATAAAAACTGATTTTAAATGAGTCCTGCTGAAAGCAGAGGATACCAGAAAAATGTCTGTGTTTTATTGACCGTCAAAGACATTTGGCTGTGCTGTTGTTGTTATGTGCCATCAAGTCACTGCAACTCATAGCAATATTGTGTACAACAACTGAGCCCTGCCCTGTCTTGAGACAGTTTCACTGACTCCAGCACACCTACCCCTGTTGCCCTAGTTACTGTATCAATCCATCTCATCTGGGGTCATCTTCTCCTGCACTGTCCCTACACCCTTCTAAGCACAATGTCCTTCTCCAAGGATTGGCCTTCCTGGCTACATGCTCAAAGTATGTGAGACAGAGCCTCTAAAGAGAAACTTGATTTCACCTTCTCCAAGACATACCTAATTGTTTTCTTGGCTGTCTGTGCAATGTTCAAGATTCTTCTCCATCACAACCATTCAAAGGCACAGATTCTTCTTCTGTCATCCTTAGTAACTGTCCAGCTCTCTGATGCATAGCAAGTAATTGTGAAGACCATGGCCTAGATCAGGCATACCTTAGTCTCTAGGCTGACATTGTTGCTACTCAATACTCTGGAGAGGTCCATGACAGCAGATTTTCCCAGTGCAGTTCGTCTTTTGATTTCCTGACTGCTGGTGCCAAGAGTGTTGATTGTGGAGCCAAGCAAACTGTATTTGTTAACAACCTCAGTCCCTGCTCCATTCCATAATGATGCTGCCAACTGGCCCAGTGCTCAGAATCTTTGTTTTCTTGATGTTCAACTTCAATCCATATTGAAAGACTACAGTCCTTGTCCTTCTGCAGCCAGTATTTCAGATCCTCCTCAGTTTCAGCAAGCAGAGTTGTGTCATCTGCATAATATAGGGTGTTAAGTCTTCCTCCAATCCTGATGCCACATTCCTCCTCATAAAGCCCAGCCTCCCAAATGATTTGTTCTGCATATAGAGTGAAAACATCATAATAAATTATGACTAACACTGAGAAGGATGGGTATCACAGAACACTTAATTATGCTCATACAAAACTTATTCCTAGAGCATGAGATTGTTGTCTGAACAGAGCAAGGGAATATCACATGGTTTAAAGTCCAAAAAGGTGTACATCAGGGTTATATACTTTCTCCAGTCCTATTCAATCAGTATCCTTAGCAAATCATTCAAGAAGCTGGATTAAGGAAGAATATCCATCAGGATAGGAATAAGATTCACCAGTAACCTGCATTATGCAGATAACACAGCCTTGCTTCCTGAAAGTGAGGAGGACTTGAAATACTTGATGCAGAAGATCAGTGACTAAGCTTTCAAATATATTGCATCTCAATATCAAGAAGACAAAAATCTATACCACTGGACCAGTAAGCAACCTCACCATGTTGTTGTTGTTGATTGCTGCTGTGTCGAGCATCCACTCATAGAGACCCTATAAACAAAGGCCTGAAGTCTGTCTATATCTATCATCATTTCTCCAGGTTCATAGAGTTTCCAGAGGCATGAACCTTCCAAACCTGAATCAATCTGAGAGCTCCACCAAACAATGCCCATGATGGATAACCAATTACGGTGTTTGAGAAAAGATTGAATTGCCAACAGTCTCATCTTACTTGAATCCACAGTCAACACCCTTGGTATCAGCAGTCAGGAGACATTGGAAAAGTCCACTGTTATTACTGAGCAATGATGTTAGTGTCAAGACTCTGTGGTGCCTGATTCAGGCCATGGTCTTTTCAATAACTTGCTATGGATCTGAGAACTGGACAGTGAGTAAGGATGGCTGAAAATTGATACCTTTAAATTGTAGTATTGAAGAAGAATACTGAATATCCCATGGACTGTAAAAAGGACAGATATGTCTTGGAAAAGGTGCAGGCAAGGTTGGTGAAACATCATCACGTATACTTTAGGCGTGTCTTAAGAGAGGCTATTTCTTGGACCCTCAACCAGATGAATTGACGCAGTAGCTGCAACAATGGATCAAGTGTGTCAGAGATGATGAGGACAGAACAGGATAGGACAGGGTTCAGATCTGCTGTTTTAAGGTGACTGTGAGCCATACTCGATTCAGGGGCACCTACTACCAACATCTTTATGCAAATTCTTGACACAAGTACATGAGTGACAAGAACCTCAGTGATTTTTCTATTTTGAATTGGGTTCAGTATAATCTTTTAATGACTTGACTTTCTTAATCGTGTTTCTCATGTTAATTACTGTAACTTCCTCTTTCATTGACAGCTAAATCTCTTTACTGGATGCTTCACTTCACTTAATTAGCCTCTTTTGTGAGTTAGTTTCTGCTCTTAGATATTTTCAAACCACTTTCTAATCATTATTGTCAGTGGAAACACCAGTTCATTGTCCTTTTATCCTTCTAATCCTTATTGATCTGTCTAGCATTAGACACTATTGACCACCTCCTCCCTTGTGAAATGGACCATTCTTTTGATATATACTGCCTATTAAGCCTCTGAACTGTCTTCCATCACCCCCTCTCATTCTTCTTTCTCATTCATCTCTGATTATAAATATGCACCACATGTTACAGCCTTCTTCCTCCATCTCTGTCTTTTATCTCGTGGAGATTTCATCTCCTCTCATAATTTTGCTAGCCATCTCTATGCCAGTGATTCCAAAATAAAATTATCTACCCTTGAATTTGCCCTTAAGTCTTTTTATTTGTATTTTTGTTAAACTGTATCTGAATGCATTGACTTCATCTCAAACCCCATTTCACTAACTTTTCCTTCAAAATTTGGTCTTTCTTTTTTTTATTGTCTTCTATTGAGACCACTATTACTTGAAGTATGAGATACATTTCCATTTTCTGAAGTCATCTGAGATAAAATCTTAAGTGCTTCTTTTTCTTACCTTTCATTTTGTTTATATGGTACAATAATAGCTATTCAATCCCCACATTCTTCTCCCTTCCATTATTTTTGTCATAGTCTTATTCTGGGTAATTATGGCTTCTTCCCTATATCTTTGTTGTTATTGTTTGCCATCGAGTTGAAACCAACACCTAGCTGACTCTCCAGTGCATTTTCAGAGGCATTAAATCATCAGGAGAAGATTGTCCATCCTTCTCCCACAGAGCATCTAGTATACCTTTGTAGTAACTTTGTAATTGGCTTTACATGGTCAGTCCTTTCTACTAAAATGTCTGTACAGTTCGAGCTAGACCCCAGCTTTAAAACCTTGATATGGTCTCATTTTCTCCTTTTTAATATGCAGATTTCTTAGTCTAGCTTTCATGATCAAATCTTGCCTATACAGTGGTATCTGCGTTTTCCCTTTAGTTGATTTATATCTTTCTCATAGTTATTGTTTTCAGTAGAAGAATCTGGGAAGGAGCCAACATTTTGTTAGGAGCCCCTAATTGTTTTCTATATATCATCTTGGTTAATAAATAAGTATAACTGGTTTTACTACTAGGTTACAGATTAGATAACTTAGAGACAGAGTCCAAACCAAAATCATACAGCTCATGAGTTGGGAAGTCAGAATTGATTGATTACACATCTGTACTCTTCCCCCCATATTGTGAATTATCTGTGTCCATGTCATTTAGCCATTGTTTAAATTTGGTTGACCGTAGGAGTAGGATTGCTAGATCAAATTTTATCTACATTTAAAAGGTGGCACACATTGTTAAAATGCCCTCTAAAACAGCTCTGCCAATTTTATTCCTTTAGAAACACATGTTTAAAAAAAACAAAAAACAACACATGTTGATGTTATTGTTAGTGGTCATCAACTTAACTCCTGCTAACAGAGACCCAGTGAGCAACAGATCTGAACCCAGCTTGTGCCTTTCCTCCTGATCTCTCATGGTCAAGCCCGTTGTTAAAGTCACTGTGTCAAGCTCTCTCTTTGAGGGTCTTCAGAGATCTTTTGCTGACCCTCTATCTTGATGTCTTTTTTCCAAGGACAGACCTGTCTTGGCAAATTGTCTAAGGTGTGTGACGCAAAATTTCATGATCCTTTTCTCTAAGGAACACTCTGATTCTACTTCCTCCAAGACAGATGTTTGTTCTTTTGGCAGTCAGTGATATATTCAGTACTCTGTCAACACTACAATTCAGAGGCAGTCATTCTTCCTTATTCACTGTCCAAGTTTGAAGCCATTGAAAGTACAGTGACTTGCATCAGACACACCTTAGTCTTTAAACTGACATTCTTGTTCTGCAGCACTTTAAAGAGGTTGTTGATAGCAGATTCCCCCAGTGTAACATTTTTTTATGTTGTTGGTTATTGCTACCATTGGTGCTGCTCTTAGGCCCAGCTGGAATACATGGAAGTGACTATTTCCCAGCTTCAAACCGATACTGGATAGTGCTAGTCTTTCCCCAAGTTAAGACTGTTTTAAACTGCATTTTTATTCTAAGAAGATTGTCTCTTCTGGTTTATTGGCTTTATAGTGCTTCTTTTATTAATTGTTTATTCATACCATTTGGCTAATTTTCTGCTTTAAGAGATTGATGCTTTGATTACTGGTAACATGACAGTAATTCACTTCCAAGAGTGTTAATAATATTGCCCAGAGTAATTACCCAGATTATCAATTCTTTTATGGTATATTTTATTGTACATAATTAATTTTCTCATTATTATTTATTCTAATATTCTTTTCCTTATTGTCACGCCTTAAAAGTCCTTCTCTATGCGAAGATTAGAAAATGACTAGCTCATATTTCCCCCTAGAATATATATTGTATAACTTTTTACATTTAAATATTTTTTAGTAAAACTAAAATTCACTTTTGGACAATAAGGACTTAGATACATTTTTTATGAAATTTTCGAGTAGGTTTCCCCAGATTGAATAAATTTCTCTTTTTCCCTATAATGTAAAATACAGCTTTCATGTAATTAATAATCACTTGTGTAAGTGAGTAATATAAAATTATTTCATGTTGATCCTTATAGCAACTCATTTAAGTCTATATTTTTAATATACATATGTGTTTTTTAAGTCTTTCAAATAAAGATAAATCTTCTGAGGAAGTGGATTCTCCTCCTATGGAACATTTTTCTGAAAGCACCTGGCTGTCCTGGGCATAATTGCAGGCAGGCTAATTGTAAAATGAGCAGGTTTAGAAAGAATGGCTGTGGGGTTGCAAAGCAAGATGATTTCAGGACTTCTGTTCTTATTGCAGAAGGCAGATGAGAGAATAAGCACATGTGATGGGCCCGTGACACAAGTTGTTGCACCAGAGTCACTGAGCACTGACCAAGCCACAGAATTTTCCCTGAGCCCCAACGCAGCCGAAGAGGTAAGTCTTTGGTGGGAAGAAGCCACCTACTCAGTTATTTGGTCGTGTACCCAGAGATAATACAACACTTTGCATGTTAAGCCAGGAGTTCCCTGTGAACTTGAACTTCTTCATTCATATCAGATGAATGTATACTGTCAAACTGTAGAACTGGAAGATTTAGCATCAGATATTTATATTCCTTAGGAATACTCTGGGATAAGAAGGTTTTTGTTCATTGTGACATATAATTAGAAATCAAGTTAGCTCTGGTGGCATAGTCCATAGACAGTTGCCCTGTTAACCCACACAGTTCTAATCTACCAGCAACGTAATGGGAGAAAAGATGACTCGTGTCCTCCTGTTAGGATATGCAGTCGAAAACTAGATAGAAGGTCAGTATGAGTTGAAAATCTCTTGACAGCAGTAAACAGTTAAAAACTGGATGCACCTTCCATTGTGTGTTATCGACAGAAGCTGTTCGGCTTAGTAAGTGTTTTTGCTGCTATTAATGAACTATTAAGTCTTTTGCTCAGCCGTGTGAGTAATTAATAATAATGATGCAGTGGTGATGATGTTAACAAAGTATATAGTGAACAGTTATTTGCCAGGCTGTGAGATTGACATTGGTTATCTCCTTTAAGTCTCACAAAAGTCCTCTGAGCTGGATAGTAGGGTTCTCCCACTTTAGACATGAATAATTTGAGGCTCAGAGATGCTAAACAAGTGGCCCAAAGTCATATAGTTGGAAAGTGATTTAAACTCCATGGCCTTTCTGCTTGTGGATTTATAACCTGAACTCTTAGTGACTATGCTCTAATAGCGCTCTTACACGGATTTGTCTGCATGTATGGATCTCTGTTGACCCAGTAAGTAGTGAGTTACATAGCTAACTCAAAGGCAGGTGGTTCGAATCTACCAATTGCTCCATAGAAGAAAGATGGACATTTTCTTCCCCCTGATTTACAGCTCTTAAAACCTAGGGCAGAGGCAGTTATGAATTGGTTCCAACTCCATGGCACATAAAAACAACGTTGTGTTTGCTTACTAAGGATTTTTGCTGCAAGTAAATCCAGTAGATTTATGAATCAGATGTAGATGTTTCCTTTCACACAGCAGAGATAGGCCACTTTTGGTTATACAGGAGCTAGTGAAGCACTTTAGGGAATCTCCAAACCCCATGCCTCATGGTGACTCTCCTTCTGGCTTTTAGTCATGGACCCACCCAACCAGCGGGAGGGGAAACTGGTTTATGCACTGAGGCCAGGTAGCCCTGTCAGCAACTGTGTAACCTCAAGATCTCTTTTATTCCAGAGGTTAAGTGACTTGGCCAAATAAGAATGACATTTTTTATAAGATTCTGAATCATCTTTGACCCATAGTGCTTTGCACAAAGAATACATAGTTGGCATGCTGTTGTGTTGTCCCTTGCCATCTGTTTCACTATGATGCTCAGTGACCCTGTGAACAAGAGAGCCAAACCTTGTCCTGTCCTGTACCATCATCCTCTTGGACTCCATTGTACTCAAACCCATTTGACAGTCACCATGTCACAGTTAGTATGGAAATACGTGACGCGCAAGAACCCGGACTTCACAAAATCAGCTCCTGTCGCTCCTCTGGAGCTCAGCTGTGTGTGCGGTGTTTCTGAGTGGACACCTTAGGTATGGTAGGCAATTTATATTTTATGATCCTGGAGGAGACATGCAGGTGCTGATAGAATTGTATGGCAGATATTAAGGAGTGAATGCAAAAGGTTGGTACTTGATTATGGAATGTACTATAACCAGAAAATTAAGTTACATTTTGTTTCTCAGACCACTTATGTGTTGCTGTGGAAGTGAAAGCAGTATGCTGTTTACTAACTGTAATATTGCCTTGGATGGGTGAGGGAGGGTAGAATTACATCTTGGGAAAGCCTCCATTTTCCCATCTATACCCCAGAAATAATATTAGATTTGTTCTAAGTATTAATTGGGATTAATCTTTGTAACACAAAGTTATGTATTATTAATTTACAGTTGTCCCTAGAGGGGACATAATTCATTTTAATATAAGATACCCATAGTAATTTTTTTCTTCCAAATGTTTAAAATGATCATGTGTCTATTTAAATGATTTCTGATTTTATAATTTGCATCTGCCGAAGGAGTGCTTATTTGGAAAATATTTTTAATTCACAATGAAAAGATCACAAGTATTGTGTGACATTGGGCCCGAGCTTCTCAGAAGCAGCTTGGTGAGATGGGAAATGTGTGAACATCATATATGCTTTGATTTGTTTGATGATGCAAAGTGACTGCAGATTAACCTGATGGCTTCCTAAGACCACTTTCACTAGTGAATTTCTATAGTCAAAAATTTTTTCTTTCCACCTTTGGATGCTTTTCAGGTTCAAAACCTAGCAAATAAAATCTAGATTACTTATCCAACTTTCTTGTTTCCTCATTAGTCTAATGAGAAAGAGAAAGAAACTAAAAATTAATTTCTCCCATTCCCTCAAAGTGGACGGACCATTCCTAAGAAACTTTCCATAAGCTGAAGTGGCGTAAAGGGAAGCAATCATCATTAGTTTATATAGGAAACATTTTCAGTGTTCCCAGACCCCAAAAATCACCTACTGGTGGCCTAGTGGTAAAAAACTATGTTGCTATCCTGAAGGCATGCAGTTTGACTCCACCAGCTGTTCCTTGGGAGAAGGATGGCCAGTCCCCTCCCATGCTATCAAATGCCTCTAAAAAGCTATTGGAGGGTCAGCTACAAGTCTGTTCAAACTCAGTGGTGCCGGTTGTTATGTGCCGTCATGTCACCTGCAACCCATAGCTACCCTATGTGCAACAGCTCTGAACCCTGCACTGTCCTATGCCAGTCTTACTGACTCCAACACACCTACTCCCATTACCCGAGTTACCACGTTAGTGCATCTCATCCAGGGTCTTCCTCTCCTGTGCTGTCCCTCCACTCTTCCAAGCATGTTGTCCTCCAAGGACTGGTCCCTTCCTGGCCGTGTGCCCAGAATATGTGAGACAGAGCTTCAAAATCCTAGGAAACTTGGTTTCACCCTCTCTAAGATCTGATTCTTCTCCAGCACTACAACTCAAAGGCATCAATTCTTCTTTTGTCATCTTTAGTCATTGTCCAGCTCTCTGATGCATAGCAAGGAATTGTGAAGACCATGGCCTAGATCAGATGCACCTTAGTCCCCAGACTGACATCGTTACTCTTTAGCACTTTGGAGAGGTCCTGTACACAACCAAAAATAGTGTTAAGAGACACATTTCAAAGCCTTAGTAGTTTGATGCTGAGATGTCGTTTCCAGGAAAGGACCTTGACAGCACCATTCTCACAGCCCAGGATGAACTCTGCCTTTTTAACAATTTGCTGGAAAACATTAAGTGCTAATTTCTCTCCCTTCCCCCTTTATTTTATTATTTTCCAATAAAAACAAAAATGTTGTGGATTTTTCAGTTAATGAAACAGATATTATTAATGCTGCCTTTTGTGAAAGCAAAGAGGCACACAGCACACTTTCAAAAAATCAGAGGCTACCTGATCTCTCATCTTACAATGTGTTGCATATACAAGGTTCTCAAACAGTATTTTTAAAATAATAAAAGGTAGATGGCCAGTCTGTTCAAGATATTTGTGGTTGATTGCCTTTGGGTCAAGCATGACTCCTAGCAACCCCTTGAACAAAAGGCCTGAATCCCTCTACGACTATGACATTTATCAAAGTTCATAAGAGTTTCCGGAGGCATGTTCTTTAGGAAGTGAATGCCACTCCTGCTTCCAAACCCGTCATGGTATTTTATTGTTATGTGCCATTGAGTCACCAGCAATGTATAGCAACCCTGTGTACAGCATCTCTGAGCCCTTCCCTGTCCTGAGCCAGTCTCAACTAACTCTGATTCACCAACCTCCATTGCTCCAGTTACTGTATAAATTCTTCTCATCCGGGTCGTCCTCTCCTGCGCTGTCCGTCCACCCTTGCAAGCATGCTGTCCTTCAGTAATTAATCTCTTCTGATCATCTCCCCAAAGTAAGTGAAGCAGAGCTTCAAAATCCTAGCCTCCAAGGAGAGGTTTCACCCTCTCCAAGACAGACCTATTTGTTTTCTTGGCAGTCCATCATATGATCAAGACTCTTCTCCAGCACCACAACTTGAAGGCATCTATTTTTCTTCTATCATCCTTAGTCATTGTCAATTCTCTGAAGCATAACAAGTAATTGAGAGGACCATGGCCTCAATTAGGCACACCTTTGTATCTACACTGACATCATTGCTCTTCAGCACTCTGGAGAGGTCCATGACAGCAGATTTTCCCAATGTTAAGAGTGTTGATTGTGGATTCGAGCAAGTTGTAATCACGAAAAACCTCAATCTCTTCTCTATTATGGTGTTACCAGTTGACCCCGTGGTGAAAATCTTTGTCTTTCTGATGTTAAGCTTCAATCCATATCGAAGACTACAGTCCTTGACCTTTTGCAGCAAGTGCATCAGGTCTTCTTCTGTTTCAGCAAGCAATTTAGCCCCCCCCAAAAAAAAAATTAATCCCAAAGTCTTAGCCATTAAAATACAGCAATATTGGAAACGATGCATCAGATGACTAGAAATTAGTATTCTGCAGGAAAAATCATGTGACTTGCTTCTTAGATATCAAAGTTTAAAAGAATTGAAACATGTGAAACTAAGTAGTCACTTAACTGTGTGTGTTGTACAGACAGAATACAAGACAAGGGAAGGCTCCTTACAGGTGATTCTTGAGGGAAATTCTTTAAAATAGAACATTTAAAGCCAGAGAAAAACATCATTTTTTGCAGAAAGTGGAAGATAAGTATTAAATTAATAGTTGGCCAAAGGAATTACAGTTATTTTTGTTCAACTACCTTACACAGAACACACCAGTGTAGGGGGAAATGAATGTCCTTTTCCTGTCCTGTATGTTTTTACCAATGCTGTTGATTTTGTTCACTTCTGCTACATATCTTAAACACAGTTCGTAGTAAAATTTGTTGTTGTTGATTGCCTTTGAGTTGAGCACAACTCATAGCGACTCTATGAATAAAAGGTCTGAAGCCTTTCTATAACTATCAACATTTATCATAGATAGTAAAATATAGTCAGTGAAAAAGAAGGTGGTCCTCAGGGAGCTGGACTGACACAGTGGCTTCAGCAGTGGGCTGAAACCTGGCAAGGGCTTTACGGATGGCCCGGGGCCAGTAGTAGTTGTTTCTGTTCCACATCAGGTCAGTAGGAGTAAAAGCCAACTCAGGGACCTGTAAGAATAGCAACAACTAGGGGAGCTCTGGTGGCCTAGTGGGAAGAAGCTGCAACTACAATCCCAGAGGTGCACGGTTCGAATCCACCAGATGCTCTGCCGGGAAAAGGAGGGACAATCTCCTCCTGTACCAGTCAGATCTGATTTGACGGTACACTCACACACACACACACACACAAAAATTTAAAAAACAAAAGAATAGCAACAACTATAAGTTTGTGAGCAGTTCTTGTTAAAAGTCTTGTCTCTTGGTGAGAAACATTCATTAAGCATTAATATGTAGATAACAAAATATTTTAAATAAAATATTGAATAAACCAATAGAAGTACCTGATGCCCAGAATGTTATTGTTTGCAAAAAAAAAACAGCTCCCAAGTTATTATTCTAGAGAAATTAAAGAATTTCTCTCGAAGAGTCAGTATGCTTTCAGTGTTCCCAAAAGAATAGATGATGTAGTGAGAAACAAATATATATCTCTGCATTAAATAATTTTTACCTCAAGTTGAAAATAGTGAACTGACATATTCTAGTTATTATATATCTGAGTCATTTTTTTATTTGATAAACAATCCAGTTATTTCCATTTAAAAAGAATTTATCATCCTTTTGTCGATTATACCTAAATGTTAAGTGTCCAGAAGGTAGAAAATTGTTTTAAGGATTCTCTCTGAGAAATAGGGCCTAAATGTATAGTTTATCTCACTGAAATTTACTACTGGACTCTCAGCTTAATTAAAATAGGGAGAAGTTCAGGGGATTAGTACCATATATGTTTATATATAAATTTATATATTGGTTGTTGGTTTTAGATGACATCAAGTCAGCTATGACTCAGAGTGGTTTTTATCTAAATACTTAAGCTGATATTAAGTTAAAAATAGAGGATGCACTGTATCCCAGCCAGTATGTAAAGTAAAAGACAGGACGTGTGTGTGTATGTGTGTGTGTGTGTTTGAACAGTGTGCACAGCAATGTAAGCCTTGCTCAATCATGTGTCACACAACTTTAAACACTGGCCAATTCCCTGAGATGTTTCAGACACACACACCCACGCCCTCACTTACACTCTCACCTGTCCCTGGGGCTTCCCTGCTTAATGAACTGTGAGGCCGTTGACTTCCTCTGTGCCCGGGAATACTCTACCTGTGTACATGCAGATCGGCTGCTTGGAAACCCGTGGCACCAGGTCACGTGAGAGGAGTTGCTATGAGTGTGGAGGTACATTTTTTCCTTCTCTTTCTTCCTTTGGCCTTTTTCGCTCTCACCCCCATCCACCCCTCCTTATTTTTTAAGCTGAGGAAGTGCCGCAGGTTCATAAGTTTTTGTACTCTTAAATCTGAAAACGTTGGACTCCAGACTTTTCAGTGTGGGATTATCTTTGGCTTTATTTTAGGGTACCACACCTCCTATCAAGGCTGCATCTTTGAGCTTTCCTAGTGAGCAAGGAACTTGGGAGGCCAAAGTGGAGGAAACAAGGCCTGAGCCTGCCGAAGTCCTCCATGTCTGCAAGAACCAGGTGGCCGAGCTGGAGCAGTGGCTCGCCCAAGCCAGTTTCGCATTTGAGCCGGAAACCTTAAACCCGGGCATGCAGCAGGTGGTGGAGCAGCAGCTGGTCGGCTGCCAGGTAAGGCGGATGGGTCAGAGTTCGTGGTTTGCCTCTTCCCAGTGCTGAGGGCCTTTTTCTTAAAGTAACAGTATGTTTCTTTCTCTTACCTGACTACTGCAGTGATCTTGGTATTTGGAGAGGTTCTTTGAAATAATTTGTGAAAGCAGCACACTTAAGAAAACAGTAGTCCATAAGAGGTCAGACTCTAGCATGTAAATCCTGGGTGTAGAGTCTGGAAAATATTAGGGCAGCTCTTGGACATTTTGATGAATTAAACGAGATAAAGCATATAAGGGAGCTCTGGTAAGAAGCCACATTGCACCCCCAAAGGCAAGCAGTTTGAATCCACCAGTTGCTCCACAGGAGAATGATGGGCAGTCTCCTCCCGTGTGATCTACTGCCTCTGAAAACCCACTGGAGGGTCAGCTATGGGTGGGTTCTGACTCAATGTCACACTACAACAACAAAGCAGAGATAGCAGTGTCTGTTACATAAAAATGCTCAATATGTTGGCTGTTATTTTCATTCATAATAGCAAGTACTTGGAATACTCATTCATCAGAAATGAAACTGCATGTCCTGATTTGCAAGAGTGCAGATGCAGCACAAAAACGCATTGCTGACAGTTTATAACTACTACTGTCATTTTTGCCTGAGTGGACTGTAATTTCCAATTGAAATGATACTACCTACTTCACACTCATTTTTGTTTGAGGATTTTTTGGAATCAAGACCTACAGAAACAAAGAGATGCTTTGTCATCCCTACAAGTACACTGAGCAAGGAGCCTCGTTAGCATTATTTTCTTACATTTACTTGTCTCTGTGTACAGGGTAGGATAGGATAAGACAGGACAGGATGCTCGGGGTCACCCTGTCTGACTGTCCATAGTGAAATGAGTGTTTATGCGTATGTGTATGCTTTGAAAATTGGATAAAGTTAACGTAATACAGTCATATAGGGATTTCATTAATAGATAGTTCTAAAGTGATATTGATCATTTAGCCACAGCCTCACCTCATAATTATGTCATTAAGTATAGTTCACAGTCTGATTTGATATTTGCGACTACTAATCAGAACATGAGCGTTATTTCTGTATGCACAGGGCTTTGCTTTTTAGAGATTAATTGGCAATTGACTTGTATTTACCTACTCTACCTTTTCTAATGTTTTCCACATGATATTCAGTGCCTGGTAGAATGAAAGTTTTCATTTAGTGAGGAAATACTCCTTGAATTCCCAGGTAAATGAGCAATAACTTGCTTCACTGCACCAAGATCTTAAGTGAGTGTCATTAAAATGTACCATTAATTTGTGTTCACATAGCTCCATAGAGTTCACCATGTGACTTTCTGTTTATTACATCTTTGATCTTCAGAAAAACACTGTGTAATGCTGAAGGGTTCTATTCCCATTACACAGATGAGGAAGTGGAGGATGTGTGCTATGGGGGGAAAATGTTGAAAGTAATATAAAAAATCAGAGTTAGTCTTGAGAACAAAACATCAAGGCATGTGTGAAGTCCCTGACTCCCCCATGAAGGACAGGGAAGGTAAATGAAGTGTCCTTTTGGGCAGGTTGCTTTATTTGACCCAGAACTGGCGTTGGGACCTGAACTTACTTCTGAACCTGCCTAGGCTTCTCTAACATTGTCTCATCGAGGAGACATTTCTTTTTAGTCTAGGAATAAACCAAATAACTTCATATATGACCCAGTACTACAAAGGTTGACAAAGGAAATGATTTCATCAACACTATTGGGATAATTAGATATAAAATGGAGAAAGAGAAAACTAGGCCCATGTCGTATTTTGAACAGATTGGAAGAATTAACTATAAGCCACTAGATCATTATAATGAGGATGAAACATGGTAATCAGTCTCCTCTACATTGTTGAGATAATAACTTTGGACTGTTGAAGCAATGGAAAAAATTACAAAGAAAAGATTTCCAGAATAATGTCAGAGAAATAACTAAGGCCTTTCTATAGGTACATGACTACCAAAATTCATCATTTATATACTTGCAATCACCATAGTGCATGCAATTTAGCATGAAAACCTATAAGACACTTTAGAGTGATCTGTAAAAGCACTTAAATTCACAGAAAAAGAATTTACTAGGGACACACATGCAAGAAAAAAAATTATATTAGTAAGTAAATATTTGTGAAAAATTTTTAGACATGATAATTTAGGGCATGTAAATTAAATAGCTATTGTCTTGTTCCTGCATTAAATTGGCAAAATTATATCATTCTGGCAGAGGGCTAGAAAAAAGAAATCTGCTAATGTCGGTTTAGGTGACTGTTGTAGTTACGTTCCTTTGAGTCAGCTTTGACTCACTGGATCTGTGAAGAACAGATTAAAATACTTTCCTTTTCCTGCCTGCTTTTTATAATTCCAGGCCTGTTGAATCCCATTGTTGTAGTCACTGTGTCAGTCTGTTATTTCCCAGCATGCTTTTCCCAAGCACTGACTCCTGCTGACAGTATGCCCAGAGTATGTGAGACAAAGTTTCACGTCACTGCCTGAAAGAGTACCCTGGTTGCACTTAACCCACAACACATCTGTTATTCTTCTGGTTGTCCATTCGTTGACATTCATTGATAGCACCACAGGCCATGGTACATATGATATTCTTTGACAGCACCACAGTCCAAAGGCATCAGTTCTCCTTCTTAAGTCCTCCTTATTTTATTACCTAACTTTCAGCTGCGTAGAAAACAACTGAAATGACCATGGATATTCTTCCTCTTTAGCACTTTACTGAGGCCCTTGACAGGAAATTTTTTTTCTCATTTTTTTTTATTAATTTTAATGAAAGTTTACAGAGACTTAGGGTTTCCAGTCATTCATTGTTACACTTTTCTCCCTGCCCACCCTCTCCCCCCAATTCATTTTTCTCCTTGATAAGTAAAAGAATAACTTTTTCATTGTTATGCAGTCCCTCCCCCCCAAGTCCACTGCACTGTGCAGCCATCATTCTGGACTCCTTTCATGACAATGATACCTAATCAAATATCCCTTTTAAACAGTTTTGACAGGAAATTTTGCTCAATGCACTGTCTTGAATTTTTGACTACTGGTGCCTAGATGATACAAATTAGTTACCCTCATCTACTCACGTCAGTGCTGGTGGCCTAGTGGTAAGGAACTGTACTGCCATCCCAGAGGCACATGATTCGAAGAAGGGTGGCCATTCGCCTCTTGTACGCTTTACTGCCTCCGAAAACCTGCGGAAGGGCCAGCTATGAATCATTCCTGACTCAACAGCACACACAACAGCTTACTAACAAGGGTTTGCCATTCCAGCCACTCTGCTTCATTAAGGTTACAGTCCAGAAAATCCTGTGGAGCAGTTCCGCTCTGTGACACAGTGGGTCCCATGATTCAGAATCAATTCAGGAGAATGAGTTCGGTTTGGATTTAGTGGTCTGGAAGCTTCATGTGGTTATAGGTTTACAGAGGTCAACTTTCATCATACAAAATTCCCATCTCTTTGTTTACCTAAGAATTATTTCTTAGGCCTTTACTTTAAATTTACCCTTGCAATATAATCCAAAAGGGAAAAATTCTTTCTGGCCATATACAAACATGAAGAACTGGAAACCATCTAAAAAGGTAACAGTAGGAAAGTTGGTAGGTGAATGATGGTGTATCACCTTACATCTATTAACATGGTAATCTTGAGGCAGATGCAGACATATGAGAAAACATAATAAACATCTACGTGGGAGAAGCAAGCTTAGAAAAGGTAGCAGGGAATGCACGTAGTTCTCTTCATAGAAAATGTGTTTTAAAGATAGACTTTTTCCGTAAGTCCCTCCCAAAGAGTTGAATCTGCTCTTAGTCACGCACTGAGCTTTTGCTCAGATGACCACAGGGCTTGAATGTGAGCGCAAATAGGAATGTGGGTTGCTGAACGTGTGTGCCCAATCTTTTAAGCAGCTGTGAATGCTAATATGCGTGGTCCCAGCCAGCTGGCATGATGTTTGGAGCTCTAGAACCCGAGGAGATGGCAAACGATCTGCTGAGGAGGACTACAGTGACAGTGACTAACTGGGAAACCAGCTAACCTCTTTTAGCCTTGTGTATAAATTGGCCAGTTTTATCAGTGCCTCAGTGTTTTTAATTCCCATTAATTGTTCTCTGATGTCGTTCAGATATTTTGGAGGTTTGATAAAGAGAGAGAAAAGGGCAAGGGAAGAAGGGATGCTCAAGTAGTGCTGTGATACTTTTTTTTACTATTACATGACACTTAAATCCCTGTAGAAAAGGTTTATGTTAGGAAGGTGGAAAAAAGAATAGTCAAGAGTTCTGTTAATGAACACCAGAGGTTCTTTCCAGACTTACTCCCCCATAAGACAGATGGATTGCTGTATGCAAAGCACTTTTCTGCATGTCTGGGAGAGCAGAGAGAATTCTCCCAAAAACTGCCTCCTCCTCTAAGGAAGAGGTTTTTCTACAATGGTTAGGTATTACCTACTTACCATTATTATTGGTAGTTCAAAGTTAAATTCAAAAGAATAGTTTGCATACTAGTTCAAAAGAATAGTTTTCATACTATTAAACAGACAACTTGAAGGAGTATACATGTGGCTGGGAAATATGCATATGCATTTCCTTTCCCCAAAACAGACAATTTAAGATCGTGGGCATGACTATAGAGAAGTTACAATAGGCTGTGAGGACCAAACAGATGACTTTCGGACATTTCAACCAGTTTTGCAGGTTGGAAGCCTAGGATATCAAATTTTTAGAGCCAAATTATGTTTGAATAACCCTGAATTTATTGATACCACCCTATCACTTTCAAAACACAGACTGATGAGAGCTCATGGATTAATTTACTGACTCAACCGACTGATCCTCGGAGGAAAATTCTATTATTGTCCCTGTATTACAGGTGACTGGTGAAGTGGCATGCCGATGCAAATTAAGGTTCCCAAGGTTATTCACCTGCTAAGCGGCAGAGCTGAGACCTGAGCCCAGGTAGTCTAGTTTCAGCCATCTGTGTTCTTTACCGACGTTGCTGTGCTGGAAGGAATCCTGGTGGTACAGTGGTAAAGCACTCAGAAGCTGACTGAGAAGTTGGCAGGTGGAACTCATTGACCCTGGGGAAAACATGTGACAATCTATTTTTATAAACTTATAATCTTTTTTTTTTCATGTTTTACAGTTTATTTTATGTAAGCAGGGACAGTCTTTTCTATGACAATACAGTTAACAAGAATCAGAATAATATGATATTAATACATGACCTAATCCACTGCCCATATTAAATTTTGCCAGTTGTCCAGTACATCCTTTTTTAATTATTATTACTGTCATTATTATTATTCAGTTCTTTTTTAAATTCATTGTTACACATTTTCTTCTCCCTACCTCATCCCCAGCTCACCCTGCAATGCACCCCTTGTTGCACATTGTTGTCATACAGTAAACTTCGAATCTTGGAAGTCCTGTGGCACAGGTCTGTTCTGTCCTCTAGGATCAGAATTCATTTGATAACAACAGATGACACTTTGTGGATATATTCTGTTACGTTTTCAAAGGAGGCTATAGAATGACTTTTGTGTGTGTGTTTTAAAGAGACATCTACAGGTGAGAGTTGGTTTGGGTGTAATGGGCTGAAAAGAGCAGGGGAATTACGTAGAAGTCCTCCCCTTCCCCTCCCCTCCAGATTCATTGCAGTCCTCTCTCTGAGACTTCTTATATATGTTTCAGTAAATAAAGAATCCAACTTATTTTGGGAAATAGCACTTGTTCAAAACAAAAAAATATGAGAAATCCTTTTATTTCCTAGGCTATGATAACAGAGATCGAGCAGAAGGTGGCTTCACTGTTCACTGAGAGCTGCAAAGATCAGGGCCTGGGAGACAGTGGAGTCATTCAGCTAGAGGCTGAAGCACTTTCCTTGAAACTGAAAACTGTGAAATGCAATTTGGAAAAAATCCAGATGATGCTTCAGGAGAAATACAGTGCAGATCAGGTAAAATATGGCAAATTTGTTTGTGTAAATATGTACACAAGATAAGGATCTTTGATGACCCAGTGTTTTTGCACTGGACTGTTAACCAGAAGGTTGCCCATTAGAACCTACCCAGTAGCTCTACAGGAGCAAGACCAGGTGATTTGCTCCCATATAGAGTAAAGCCAAGAAAAGTGGGGCAATTCTCTACTACAGTGGGGTTTTATCAGTGACTCAGGGTCAACCTGCTAGCATTTACCAGAACAACTGTGGTAGACCCATCAAGAAAAGAACTCTGAATGAAAGGGATAACCTAATTATAGAGAAACTAACTTAAGTGATAAAGAAGTAAGGCACTTAAAACTGGAAGGAGTGGGTATGCTGAGGTTTTGTTACTGATTTTATTTTACTGTCCTGCTTTTTTTTATAGGTTGGGATTGGGATTGGTGGTTTGTTTGGGTTGGATGTGCTTGCTGGTAATGATGAGGTCTAGTGTAAGCCTTCTTAATAAGAGAAGGATGTATTCTAAAGGCACTGTGGGCCTTTCCATTTGGTTGGAAAATAAGGGACTTTACAGATAAGATTGAAATCTAACACTGGAAACATACAACTTGCTTCCAGATTCTGTACAAATAACCTGTAATAGTAGTCAAAGTATGATACAGCTAAGACGTTCTTGAGATTTTTTAAAGCATTCAATGTTAATTAATGCAAATTTGCATTTTATAGGATTCTATTGTGTACAGTTTGTATTATTCCTTCTTACTTTGTATACATTTCTGCTTAGGGAATTTTACCCTCTCAAAAAGATTTCTTGTAGGTACACAGACCACATGATTTACTTTTTATCTTAATATGTTGTTTTTCTTTTTAAAGAAAATCTACTTATATTTTATATAAAGGGAAAATTTTAAATGATAAGCATACCTTTTTTAACTTCATTTTTAAGAAAAAGACAATTTCCTGGGGTTTAGTAATTGATTAGATAAATTGGTGGTGAAAAGCAAAAGGTGACCACTTCATCAAATGTAATTCATTTTTTGATGGTGTTATGAAAAAGGCCTATCTAATCATAATGTATAATTATCATAAATGACAAAATACTATCATTTACTTCATATAAATCTTTTCTGTTATTTGAATCGCAATAAAATAGGGCTTTCTTTGTAAAATAATTTGCTGTCATGAAATTTTTTTGCAGCATTCTGTCCTTGTAAAGAAACCTTCAGAGAATAAAGATGAACTCCAGCCAGATAACCTTTCTATATTTGAATCTTTTATAACTGAAAAGCCACAATTTAGTAGACAAAAGGATTTCCAGCAGGTAATTTCAACCCCCAATAGTTTGTTGGTTGTTTTGGTTTTCTTTTGGGTTTGTTTTTGGTTTTTTTTTCAGCCTTACTGACATCTTTCTGATACGTGCTGAAGGTTTTTTTATTGTTTATTTGCGGGTTTTTGCTCCTCACTCCTGCCCTTGTCTTCTTTGTTAACCCTCCAAGGTTGATTATATCTGTGTTTAAACATTTCCTTAGCTGTTTGTGTTCATGTTCTTACACCATAATTGTCCTTTTGTGACTGGCTTATGTCACTCAGCATGTGTTCGCAGTTCATTTCGTGCAATATTTCACAAATTTGTCATCATTTTTAGTGTTGTGTGCATGTACCATGGTTTCTTTATCCATTCATCTGTTAATGTCACTTGAGTTGTTTCCAACTCTTCACCGTTCTAAATGGTGCTGCAGTAAGCATGAATGTGAGTATATCAGTTTATGCTGAAACCCTTATGTCTTTGAGATATATTCCTAATAGTAAGATTGCTGAGTCAAATATTATTTCTATCCCCAACTTCCTAAGGGAGCACCAGACTGCTTTGCATAGTGAGGCATCATTTTACATTTCACCAGCAGTAAAGTGTTCCAGTCTCTCCATACCAACAACAGCATATGCTATTTCATTTCTGATTAAACATTGCTGTTTTTTCCTGGAATGAGATAATACCGGTTAATAATAGTAACTTTTGTGGTGCAGTATCTAAAATTCAAGACTGCTAACCAAAAAGTTAGCTGTTCACATCCACCCTGCAGCAGGAGGGTAGTGCAATGTGCTTCTGGTACAATTTCTGGCTTGGAAACTTATTGGAGAAGTTCTCCTCTGTCCAATAGAATTAATGTGAGTCAAAACTGACTCCATGACAACTGTTTTTATAATAGTTATAAGGAAAAGAATAAAATTTCTTTGGTGGAATTTCCCTTTGAACTAATAATCAGTTACAGTTAGATGAAGCAGGTAAGCTCACTTTGATCCTTTATTGGCTTGCATCTGATGTCCAACAGAGCAGGTATCTTCAGGTTGAACTTACCTTTGTAGTTGCAGCCATTCTGGGAGGATGGTCTACCTTCATACCTTAGGAGCCTGGCTCCCTAAGCTAAAGCCTATGTTTATAACATTTTCTGATGGGGAAGCTGGGCATTGGATTATACTCTTGATTTCAGCCCCTTCTCACTGTCTGAGAACTCTTCCCTGTTCTGAGCTCATTGTAACTTTCTGTGTACTATTTCATTGCACAGATCAATACTCTGGCTAAGCAAGAAGACATTTTCTTTCTGGTTATTCTGGGGCTTTGTTATGTTTTGGGGTTGGGTTGTTTTTTGGTTTTTTCTTTAAAAAAAAAAAAGGCAAAGAAAGAAAGAACAAAGCCAGATTCGGTGAGAAAAGACCTCTATCTTTTACCCCCTTTTCCTTTTTTCCATGGTATCCTGAACATAATACCCCTCAGACTTGTACCGTATAAGTTAATACTCAGTCCTCCTTTGCTTCTCTCAACTGATGGCTGAGGGCCACACGTGGATATAATCAAAAACATCTCACCCATGAACAGGAGCCTTTTGTGAGAACCTCATTCTTAACAAAGCACAAACACCACTTATCACTATCCTGATTACTAGAAATAATAAAAGCCTGTGATAATGACAGTAATGTAATTACTCAATCTGATTCTAAGAACCTTGCACCCTTCTCTTCTGATTCACTTTACTTGGTAAGTTGCACCTATTGTTTAAAAATATGTTCATGTATTTTGAATTATTTTCTTTTTTACTTGATATACTGCACCTATTATGTCAGAATATGTTCATGTATTTTAGATTATTTTTCCCCAATTAAAGTGTATGGTATACTTTAAATAATTGAATATTGATTGAATACTTCAGGTTTCTGAGACACAAAAGATAAAAAGAGCAAGAAATAAAGAAATCTAAGGATTTAACGAGGTTCAGAATCAGATTATCTGAACAGAATAAAAAAAACAACCCATATGGGTACTGATTAAAAATTATAATTGGTTGAACTGTTTGAATCTCATTAATATATAGGTCTTGGAGTTAAAACCAGTGGAGCAGAAAGACTTCATCAAATTCATAGAGTTTATTGTTACCAAAATGGGGCCCCAGTTTTCTCAACAAGATCCAACTCAGGAATCATCTCTCAGGTAAAGCATTTTTATTAGTTGGAACATTTGACAGTATTTATGCTTGGAAGAATTACAAGTTTCTTTAACAGGGTAATGGTGGGCATAGTTCAAGGATGATTAATGTTATTAAACATAATGATTGAGAATGATTGTATGAAATACAATGTGAATAAATGATAGTGTGAAGCACAATATATATAAACTTTATAAGCAAACTAATATAAAATAAACATTTTAAAAAATATTATTAAAGCAAGAAAGGTATATTTTTAAAAAACCCTTATAGAACATTGTCTGAAAGTAATTCAAGATAGCAATATTCTACCTTTTGCTCTTTCGCAAAAGCAGTAAGGCATCTAGCTCCCCAGATGATGCACCAGATGTGGTCATGTCTGCCCAGGACCAAAGCAGAGATAAATGGCAATATTTACAACATGAACTATCTTCAAAAATACTGCTACCTTCACCTCAGTATGTGGAGCCTCAGGTCAGTTTGTATATGTTCACAGTGTATGTAAAAATGTTTATCTTTAAAAAATGCAGCATACTATTCAGTGAACAAAAATATGTGGTCAACATCATGTACCAGTTTATTTTCAGAAAGAGAAACGGGAAGGCTGAGATAGAGCCAACAAGGTTTTTGGCTTGACATACTCTGTTTTATCCCACAGGAAATCTGTGGGCTGCCTCTCCTGACTTCTTTAGCACCATGGACTTCCCCGATCACTGCTTGGACTGTAGTAGGCACCTATGTGTCTTCTCATGGCCTAGTAACAAGGAATTGCACTGCCAACTCAAAAACACATAGTTCGAATCCACCAATTGCTCCATATGCAAAAGATGGGTGATTAACTGTCTCTGAAAACTTGCTGGAGGGTCAGTTATGAGTGGGTCACAACTCGACAGTACATGACAACAACAGTCAGAACTAGACCGTATCTGTTTGGTTCATATATGAGTACCTAGCACAGTGCCTGATATACCATAAAATCTCAGTTACATTTGTTGACAAAAGGAGTGAATAATGTATGTTGAAACACTTTCATACACTATACAATACTGTAAAAGTATCGTTCATTCATCTAAAGATTCTTTGGAATCTGCTGCAAGCCAGCCCCCTTGCCAGGTCCCAAGGTCGAATCTGATCATAATTCCCAAGAAACTCAAAGTCTAGTAGGAAAAAAATAAGCCATTTGTCAAGTATTGTGGGAATTGTTGTTGTGTGTGCTGCTGGGTCAGAACCTGACATGCGGATTTTCAAAGACAGTAAATTGCACTGAAGGATGGAGCATCTGGTGGGTTTGAATGGTGTGCCTCTGAGATCACAACATAGTTTCTTACCATTCTACTACCAGAGAATTTACTGAGTATGTTGTTGTTGTTAAGTGCCATCGAGTCAGAGGGGACTCATAGCGACCCTGTGAGCGAAAGACCTGGACACATGTATAACTTTCGTCCTTTCTCCAGGTTCATAGGGTTTCCAAAGCAAGCTATTACGGAAGTGGATGCCACTCCTGCTTCCAAGCTTGTATAGTGGAGTCATTTTGTCTGCCAGGGGTGGGGAAGTAGAAAACAAGGAAGACATCAAAGAGAAGAAAACAGAGTTTTGAAAAGTCTTCAGTTTACTGCCTTGGGGATGAGGAATAATAAACAATTTCAGCAAAGGAGATAAGACTTGGATGTAGGAAATGGCATGGAATTATGAGGATGTTAGGTGAGAAATGCCCATATGCCAATTGCTTCAGTCACTCTGGATTCCTGCCAGTACTGTTTTGATAGCTTTTATTTCGTCTGGACCACTGTGCTAGTAGTTGGATTTCTTTCCATCCTCTGAACCATCCTCACTGAGGTGTCTGCCATTAACATTCCCTGCTTACCACCTGGGCAAAAGTTACTAGTGATTTCCTCCTTCTCTAATCTGGTGATATGATAACTTCTCAGTTATCACCTCTTTTGCTGATAAAATTCTTCAGCCAATTACACTTGGCTTGATAACATTTTAATCTTGGATTTGCCTTTTGATACACTAGCTATCTATACTATCTTATTTCTACTAGCTCTGGTAGCCTGGTGGCAAGAAGATGCACTGTAATTCCAAAGGCACATGGTTCAAGTCCACAAGCTGCTCCAAGGGAGAAAGATGGGGAGTCCTGATGGAACACAGCAACAGCATAATATGTCTAGGGAGCAGTGGTGGTGGTGGTGCTGGTGGTTGTGTACTGTCAAGTCAGAGCTGACCCATAGCTGACCCACTGGCAAATTTTCAAAGGCAATTAATCCTGCCTTCTCTCATGGAGCAGCTGGTGGATTTGAACTGTATGCCTTTGTGACTGCGGTGCAGCTTCTTGCCACTAGGCCACCAGAGCTCCCTTATTACCCCTTGTTTCTTTATTAGATGTCAGTTTTCCAATCCAAAGAAGAAATTTACTCTTGAGGCACTCTTTCTCTGAAAAGGTAGCTCATTTTGAGTACTTACTCAGTGTTTCAGTGACAAATCATGAAGCAAATCAATCACTAGAGGTGTTACTCATTCCATTTTAAGAGTTCACTACACCAGGAGCCAACTAGTAATTGAGAAAAACCGCTAACTTAGTTACATGAGTATTGTTGCTACTAAACAGAAAGATTAGTAATTTTACTTCTCAAAATACGTTTTGTTTAAAAATATGGTTTACGTTTCCCTGTTGAAGTATCTGAAGGAATTTCTAGTGTCTAAGTAATGTTTCTCATGACTTAAAATTGGTCCAGATTACTTTTTTATTCATTTTAATGAATGTTTACAGAGATTTTGAATTTCCATTCATTCACTGTTGCACTTTTCTCCCTGCCCATCCTTCCCTCACAGTTCGCTCCTCTCTTTGAAAAAGAAAAGAAAAATTCTTTCATTGGTATACAATTCCCCCCTCCTGTCCTCACCCACCGAGTACACTCCACTATGCAACCTTCATTCTGGACTCTTGTCATATCCATAATACTCAATCGTATATCTCCTTGATTTCTATTCATTTATTATTGCACTTTTCTCCCAATCCTTCCCCCCAGTACACTCCCCTCTTGGAAAAGTAACACACATTGCTTTTAAACTGTTTTCTCACTTATCTGTTTCAGTGCAGTATACATAATTTATCCAATTTTTCTCAGACTCACCCCAACCCTAATGTTACGGTTGGTGGGTTTTTCTGCCCCTACAAATGACAAGACAATAAAACTATTTACTACAGTCATTTAGAGAGAATATTTTTGCTGTTTCTGTTAATATCAGGAGTTCAGCTTTCACTAAAACGAATTCTTTTTTAAAAAATAGGTTACCACAAATATGAGTGTTCTACCCAGTGTGAGTGTTTATAACTTTAGATACCCAAACACTGAAGAATTGCAAGCCTATACCATCCAGCTTGAAGACCTACGGCAGGAAGCAAATCATCTCCAGGCACAGGTAGAAGTTACTTCTATGTTTCACTTTTTGCAGTAACCAAGAAATAGAAAGAGCCAAGATGTTATCGTTGAAAATAGATCATAATATTCTTCAAGAAACAAATAATAGAATGAGTGCTTGATTTGTCTATACAATGTATCCGATTGGTTTTGTAGTGGCTGTGTGGAAAAAGATTCTGAGTAAAGAATTAGCAGAGGAGAAGGTCATGACAGATAAGCTCTGTCCACAGTGGTGATCGAGCATTGGAAGGGTGAGGAGGAAGAGATATAAGCAGCTATTCCTTTGCTTACAGACTTAACTAGTCTTAAGGTTCAGATGAGGTCCTGGGTAATATTAAGTATCCACCAAGGAAGACAATGGCAAACAAAACCCAAATTGAGGTTACTACCTTTGGTTGCAAATGCCAAAACAATTTTGAACCAGTTCATTCTGGTTTGCCTCCACTATCCCTGCGCCCGACCCCTCCATTGAGAAATTGCATTTCCATCGCAAATAGATGGAATGAAACTCTATTTTAACAAGATCCTCAGATAATAGGTTAAAAAATTTTTTTTAAAAGGACATAATTCCAAGACACACAGATAATGGGTTAACAAAAGAGATAGACATGGTTCCAGACACATCTAGAAGGCAACTAGCAACACCGGAGAGGTACTAATTCGTTCTAAACAAAGGCAATACAGCTGTTTCAATTAGCAAATAGGAACAAGGTAGATAACTTTAAATGATCCTGGCAGAAAGAAGAGGAAGGAAATCACTACAACAGCAGAGATTAGTCAGGGATGAGGGTGAAGAATTAAGGTGCTAGGGAGACTTGAGATGGAGAGATTAAAGTAACAGATCAGTAGTAATTATGTAAAACATAATGTACAGAAATGATTATGTAAAACAATGTAGATGAATAATTATATAAAAGTGGATGATGGTATAAATAAATAACAAATTTAAAAATACCCAAACCAAACATTTGCCTAAAGTCAAAGCTGTGAAGGCAGAAGGGTTAGGTCAAAAAGAGGGACAGAAAGGAAAATGAGAGAAGATTTAAGAGAAGTGTGATTACATTGTGTTTATTGTAATTAATGTTTTAGAACATACATGGTTGATATAATTTAATGTCATAAAAAATGTGAATTAAATTAGATTTGTAAACTTTCACTGAAATCACAGGGATTTTTTTATTATTAATTTTAATGAACATTGACAGAGATTTTGGATTTCCATTCATTCATTGTTGTACTTTCCTCCCCCCAATCCCACCCCTACCCCCAGTTCGTTCTACCCTTTGAAAAGTAAAAGAAAAATTCCTTCATTGGTATACAATCCCCCTTACCCCTCCACCCCCACCCCGGGTATACTCCACTCTGCAACCTTCATTCTGGACTCTTAACATAATCCTAATACCCTATAATATATTGCTTATACTGTTCTCTCCCTCATCCGTTTCAACGCAGTATACATAATTTATCCAGTTTTTCTCATTCTTACCCCCAATCCTGGTGTCAGTCCCATTCTACAGCAGTGGCACAATGCAGTGTTTGTCCCTTTGTGACTGAGATATTTCACTCAGCTTAAACAGGGATTTTTTTTAAAAACGAAAAATGGACACTGTACCTTCTCTTTTCAAGTCCCTCATTCATGCTTTTGTGAATTCTTTCGCTTTTGCAGCCTGTACTTGATTTCATTAACCCAGTTTCTCCAGTATTAAAATGTAAGGGCTAAGGCAGTGGAAAGAGGAACAGTATCATTTATCTGGGACTAAATTTCCACCGACATGCCTCTCCTGATCCTAAGAGAGTCCTTCATCACCGTAATTTGCCTTTTAATTTTCTGTGACTTGTTTTTCTCATAATTAAACACTTGTTTAATTTTGTTTACTTAAGCATTTTGCTACTAGTTCACAAAGTGTGTAAAGTGTATGTGTATATGTGTGTGTGTGTGTATATATACACATACATGAATGTATATGTTGTTGTCATGTGCCATTGAGTCAGAACTGACCCGTAGCTGATCCTCAGCTGGTTTTCAGAGGCAGTAAATTCCACAAGAGGAGATTGCCCACTCTTCTTGTGTGGAGCAGCTCGTGGATTTGAACGGTGTGCTTTTGGGATTGCAACACAGCTTCTTACAAGTAGGCCACCAGAGTTCCCTATATAAAGTATATATACACATGTATGAAGTATATGTTGTTGTGCACCATCGAGTCTGAACCAACCCATAGCTGACCCTCCAGCAGATTTTCAGAGGTAGTTAATTGCATGGAAACTGCCCATCCTCCTTCTGTAGAGCCACTAATGGATGCAAACCACGAGCCTACAGGACTGTATGTGTATATAAGTGTGTATAAAGTATATGTCGTTGTTGAGTATCGTCACGTCGGAACCAACTCATAGTTGATCCTCCAGTGAGTTTTTGGAGGGAGTAAATAGCACAGGAGGAGACTGCCCATCACACTCTCTCTCTCTCTCTCTCTCTCTGGGGGTGTGTGTGGGTGTGTGTATGTGAAAATAGTATTCATTTAGCAGGACATAGCGTCTAAATGATTTTTATTTTCTGTTCTTAACTCAGGAAAACGTAACAGAAGAAACACACATAAATTTGGATAAAAAATTATTTGAGCTACTTCTCGCTCTCAGTCAGTGCCTCAGAAGCGTGGAGGAGATGCTACAAACCCCCGAGCTTTTCAGAGGGGATGTTTATAGCCAGCAGGTGCACTATGAGGTAGGGAACTGTGCTGACTGTTAAAGCAGCTTGGCTCATTAAGGTGGAGCTGAAGGAGGCCTTCAAACCGGTTCACTCACCACTGACTCAGCAAAATCTGAACAGATCTGAATTTGTAACGGTTTTCCGTGCAGGTCCGTTCAGGTTTCTCTTCGTCAGCCATGACTGGTATGGGATGAGCTACTTTGAGGCCCTGAACTGAAGCCACTAGAGGTCAGAGCTCATCCACTTCCTTCCTTTCTTTTTGTTTAACAGGCTCTGGCTCTTGACATGAAAAAACTTTACTTAACTGTGAGTGACAAGAAGGGTGAGATTGTGAAAGCAATGACTTCTGATGAGAATAGCAACCCTTACCTTGAATGTTTTGATAACCTCCAAGCATACCTGGAGCACATCCAGGCTACAGCTGCCTCTCGAAGCAAGTCCCTGAAAGCTGGCCTCAACTATAATCACAGTTATCAGGTACATTTCTGAGCTCGTAGTGTGCTTCCATACTGCTGTCAGACACAGCCTGGCCCCTTTGTTGACACTAATTTCCACTCCTGACAATGATCATTAATAGGAATTGCTGAGGGATACAGCCAGATACTCCTACGAAGTTCTTTAAGTTAATACTGTTGCCCATGATGGAGGCTATTTGAAAGTGAAGTCTTTTTTTTTTTTTTGAAGTCTTTTTTTTTTAATTCTTAGGTACAGATTTGTAAGGATGAGCTCAGTTAATGATTCTTCCTTGTATTTAGTTTTTCAGCCAACTAATGTGTGCCATGTTGTCATGGGCTAAAAAGTTGGAGCTAGCTCATAGCTGACTCTCCAGCAAGTTTTCAGAGGTAGTAAATTGCATAGAATTCCTTCTTCTTTGCCCCGCATTCATCCACGAAGCTGCTGGTGGATTTGAACCGCATGTCTTTTGGTTGGCAGTGCAATTCCTTACCACTCACTAGGCCTCCAGAGATACAGAAAGATTTATATTTAAATTTCCAGGAAAGGGGAAACCGTGAGCCAAAGACAGTCCGTACTGTGTTTTAGGTAAGTAAGCCTGTTAAAATTGGGCTATAGGAGTAAGAGGGAGTTGAGAAAGGTAGGAAGCTACTAAAATTGTCCAAAGGAAAAAATGAAGTACACCACCATCTGTTAAGGAGTTTTACTCCTAAAATCAACCTTGAATCTGATCAAGCCTTTAGAATCTGAGGAAAACAACCATGAGAAGAATTGACTGAGCAGTACTCAGGAGGTGCAGTCAGCAAAACCTCAGCTGTGGGAAAACTGTATGAAACAGGTGACCCTTTGTTTCCACCATCCTCCAAAATACAAGACACAAATTGAAAATTAAGACACATATTCATCATTGAGTATACATCTCATTTGAATCTTTATTAAAAAGTGAGAATTATAAGTAATTAAGAAGTGTACATCTTCAGGATAGTAAATAATACTGAAATTATTAATTTGGGAGAAAGTATTGCATTTTAAAGAGTTGAATGTGTGTCTTGTAAAAATCATGGTGAGATTACACGATACGGGGCAGGGCACAGAGGACAGACAAGCAAGAGCCTAAAGTTGGTGAAGCTGGATGTTTCCTTGCGGGTTTGTGTATGTTTGAAATTTCCAACAGAAAAATTAAACCATTAAAAAAAAAAGTAACAAAAAGATGAGAATGCTCATTGTTTCCTGAATTTATCTTTTTTTTTAACATATATACAGCATGAAATAAAGCGATTATATGATCAGCTTGTTAAGAATAAAACATCTTTACAACAGTCTCTGAATGACGTCAGTAGCCAGCCCGTTGATGAACAGCTGCAGGTAATCAAGTAAAAATTCAAACTGCACTAACTTTGGGTCACTGAGTCTTAAGTACTAGGCTTTGGTCTCTGCGTTGTCTGCACGACTCCCCTCTGTGAGCTGTGATTGGCAAGTTTATGTAAGAAATAAAAATGGAAATAACTTATGTTGCCCCTTAAAAGCACTCTGGCTTTTTAAATTGTTATTTTAACAAAGGTTTACAGAGTGGCTATGTTTGCATTCATTCATTTTTGCACATTTTCCTCCTTCCCCCTCTCTATCCACTTTCCTGGTCCACTTTGCTATGCCCTCTTGTTCCAGATTGTTGTCATATATATAGTGCCTAATCATATATTCCTTTCAGACAGTTCTTCCCCTCATTTGCTCCAATGCAGTGATCATTATCTATCCACTCTTTTCCTAAGTTGTACTTCGTGCAGTTCAAAGTAAGAAACCTTTTCCTCGTATTAGCCTGGCAAAAACTTTGCCCAGAGTTGGAAATCATATGAAGAAGTGAGACCCTCAGTCTCTGAAAGGAGTGCTAATTGGTTCAGCTCCTGAGATCATTTGGCAATAGATCAAAACTCTAAACACAAGATCAATTCTATTTTGTAATGATAGTTTCATTCATTTATTCAGCAATATTGATTGAAGGTGTAGAATATTCAGGCACTGTTCTAGGTGCTGACTTTGCATTTGTCGTAAAGAAATAACAAGTGTGGGTCTTAAAGTTCAAGGGTGCACCTATCTGAATCATAAACAACAGTATATAGTCCCAAAGTCCATTAAAAGCAAACCATTAATAAAGTTAGGCACCCCATGCGTTAGCATATTCTATGTCTGTTTAGAAGGAGCCAGCTATACATGGAGTAATATAAAGAGCTCTGAAGAGCTAGTAGAAGCAAGTGAAAGTGCAAACTGTAGTTCAGGATGGTGTATTTCACTGGAGTTAAGGATATGATTAGAAGGTGTTAGAAAGCACTATGGCATCTGTGGAAGAGTGACGGAGTTGCAGGTGAGGGATATGGTGCCAAGACTACCACTTTTCCTTTCATTTCTTTCTATACTGCTTAATGAATGTGTATGCTATTTAAATGAATGTGTACAGTACCTTAATATCTTTCTGTGCTGTTTAACGAACATTTACATTTTTTAATGAATTTGTACACTACTCTAGCTTATTAAAGGATTTTAACTTTTTTACATCGTTTGTCTCGCTTAGAAAGGAGATGAGTGTATAGTGGAACTGTGCAACTTTGAGAACCAAGTGGCAAAATTAAGAGATGAAGGGGAGCGGCTTCATTTGCCTTATGGTTTACTCCAGGAGGTTTACAAATTGGAGGTATGTCTAAACACGTACCGTTCTATCAGAATTGTGAGGATCATAAAGGCGAAGGATTTCTTTTCCCTCTTTCACTAAGAGAGTTTATTGTTCATTTAGATTATTTGGACAATTGGGTACAAATGTTCATTGACACTTGATTTTTTTTTCCCCCCCCCAGGATGTTCTTGACAGTATGTGGGGACTCCTGAGAGTGAGATTCTCTGAACTCAGCAACCCTTTCATCACTGAGATTCAGCAAGATGCTTTGTTGGAAGGCCTGGTGGACCTGGTGAATATTGGAAGGGAAAAGCTTGCTCATGACCACTTACACCAAGCCAAAAGTAAAAGTGCTTTGCAGGCTCAGATACAGAGTCACAAGGTAAGACCCTAAGACCCTAGTCATACCTTAACATCATAAGGTTTTTCTGAGTGTGAACAGAGCACCATTTTATTAATTGGTGAAACACACTATCCATTCATTCATTTAAGAAAACTTTAAAGAACTTACTATATGTGAGGAGCTCTGGTAAATTCTAGGAATTTAATTGTGCTTTAAAAACAGACATTGCTTCTTATTTCTGTGGGGCTTTGAGTTGATTGAGAAAGTAGAGATTAATTAATGAGTCATTCAAACAAATTTAAAATTGGCATTTTAATGGTCTGAGTGTGTTTAATAGGGAGATTGGTCTAGAGAGCTTATGAAAGGCTTTCCTGAGAAATTAGATTGGAAAAAATTATACTTTTTAAGTGGCATCCACTTTTTAACATGCCTATGGAAAATCTATGAATTTTGAGAAACAAAAATAGTTATAAAAAACGCTTCAAGTCTTTTGTTCATAGGGTCATTGTGATTTGTGTTCAACTGACTGCAATCAATAACAGCAATCCAACAATAATTTTTTTCATTCATTTTGTTCCCTTAACTCAAACTCTTTAGTCCTAAGATACACAGTTTGATACATGCTGCTGCTAATAATAATAAAGCTGCACAATGACTAGGCATAATAGAAGGAGAATTGATGCCTTTGCGCTTCAGTGCTGGAGAAGAGTATTGAATATACCATGGACTGCTAGGAGAACAAACCGATTCATCCAAGAGAGAGTGAAACCATGCTGCTCCTTGGAGATAAGGATTCTGAAGCTTCAATTGACATACTTTGGCCATGTTACAAGGAGGGGCCAACAAAAATAAAAGGCTAAAACAGTATTCTACCCTTAATAAGCTCACCTTTCATAAATAGAAGTTGTTGTTATGTGCCATTGAGTTGCCTGTGACTCAAAGTGAACCTATGTACAACAGCTCTGAAGCTTGACCTTATGTGAGCCATTCTCACTGAATCTAACACACCTACTCCCATTACCCTAGTTACTGTCAATCCATCTTATCCAGAGTTGTCTTCTCCTGTGCTGTCCCTCCATCCTTCCAAGCATGATGTCCTTCTTCAAGGACTGGCCCCTCCTGGCCACATGTCCAAAGTTTGTGAGACAGAGCTTCAAAATCCTAGCCTCCAAGGAGAAACTTGGTTTCACCCTCTCCAAGACAGACCTATTTATTTTCTTGGTGGCCCATGATATGTTCAAAGCTCTTCTCCAGCAACACAGCTCAAAGACATCAATCCTTTTTCCGTCATCCATAGTCATTGTTCAGCTCTCTGATGCACAGCAAGTCATTGCGAAGCCCATGGCCTGGATCAGGTGCACCTTCTTCTCCACACTGATATCTTTGCTTCTCAGTACTCTGGAGCGGTCCCTAACAGAATATTTTCTCAAGTGTAATTCATCTTTTGAGTTCCTGACTGCTGGTGTCAACAGTGTTGATTGTGGAGCCGAAGAAGTTGAAATTGTTAACAACCTTAATCTCTTCTCCATCATAGACAATTTCTATTGAAATTGTGATCAATTTTTATGACTGTGATCTATTTTTATGATTATTTTAAAATAGAACTTAGTCTAAGAAAAAATTAAAAGATAAACACTATGTAAAGGATAGAGAGGAAAAGGAGAAAATAATATTAACTGATCATTTACCATGAGCTAGATGCTTTTACAAAACAAATCTGTTTACATTAAAGGACAACAAAAGAGATTTGCTTAAGTGGATCCTCCTACAGGAAATCCTTGTGTAGGAAAACCTCCCTTTTTAAAGTTTCTTGACGTCTAAGTGTGGAGTCTTTCTACATCTGGATCCTATTAGACCTTTTGCTTAGTCAGTTTGTTGAGTGGTTATTAAAGCCAAAATTTGGGCACCCTATGGATTAAATATGTGCTTGGGCTCATAATTATTCACCCAACCCTTCAGCTTAAAATAACTCCCCCTTATCAGCATCTAACTTTTCTTCAAGTATTTTGAAACACTGAACCAATTTAAGAAGAAATTAACCACCAATTAGTAATGTTTGAACTATGGATAGGATATTTTGTGAACATTATTACTCAGGATAATTTTTTTTCATGATTTATTAAAATGTCATTAGCACTCAGAGACTCAAGGATCTGCAATCAGTCTTCTTTTTGTTATCACCTACATTTGACCACATGTGAATGTCTTGGAATTTTACAAAAACAAGGATAATAGTAGTAACAAATTGAGGTATCTTGCTTCAAAAGTTTTTTTACAGCTAAAAAAAAATTAGTAATTTTAAAAACTTTCTTTATAGGGTTTTTTCCAGAAACTTGTTGCTGACATATTTTTGATCCAAACATATTCCAACAAAATGTTTCCTTCATTACTGCAAAAGAAAGAGACATTTTGGGCAGAACAAGTAAAAGAAGTCAAATTACTGGAGGAAAAGTCACAGCAGTGTGGCATGCAGCAACAGAGTTTGTTACAGGTATTTGGGTTAAATAAACTTTTCCACAGTAAGCCAAGAATTCCCACTTTTCATCTACGCCTCTACATCTAGGACCCAAGAAGCTAGTTGTCATTCATCTTTGATTAAATGAGGACAGAAAAATGAAAACTAGATAGCCTATTTTGTTGTTCCACCAAAGGGCATGTCTAAATGTTTTCATGAGATTGCCTTTGTGCCAACAGTTAGTGTTCGTGTCAAGGTCAGACTTAGCTCTGCGGTGTGCCCTGTTCCTCAGAGTGGACTTCTGTGAAAAGTGCAAATGCTAGGAGAAGCCTAGCCTAGAGTAGGACACCCTGGTGAAACGTTAAGGACTTCTGAGTGGCATGAAGGATAAGAATTCTTCTACTAACTGCATGGTTGGTAGTTCAAAGCCCTTAGAGGTGCCTCTGAAGACAAGGCTGACTCTACTTCCTGAAGGTGCAGTCGCTGGGGACTCTATGCACAGGGCTTCCTTGACAGACCACAATGACTGGTGGGATTTTCTGGATTTGTTGAACTATAAGCCACACTCAAGCAAGCAGCACAGGATTTTAATGTTGAGTGGGCTAGGGATTGGAGTAGAGATGGGGGTGCTATAGATCAACCGGGCAGGTAGGAGTTGAGCTCCTACTAGGGCAGGTTACGTCTGTCATAAACCTCTAGAATCTGTGCTTAATAATTTTGGCTTTGATGATTAATTTTGTCATTGTCTAGGAGACTACACCTACTGATTTTTATGTCATTGGTTCTCCAGAAATGGGAAGACTTTGATGAGAACTGTGCATCTCTTGAAAAGGACCTGGAAATCCTTCTCTCTACATTACCCTCCGTGAGTTTGGTGGAAGAAACAGAAGAAAGATTAATGGAAAGGATTTCCTTTTATCAGGTACTTTGCTTCCATATCAGTTGTCAGAGGCATAGTCTGTACTATTTTTGTTTTGTTTCATTTTTACAACATTGCCTGATTTTGAAAGTATACAATTTGAATTAAATTGAAATTTTGCTCACCAAACAAATCATTGCTAGTCTGTTCTAATAGACTAGTGATTTGATCATAGGTTCTGAACATAACCATATGTCTGTCACCTTGTGACCTTCCTAGGTCTAAATCTCACTTTCTTATCTGTGTGGTGTGTGTAATCAAGCCTGTTCCACCAGTCTTGGAAGCTCTTACAGGTCAAATGAGCTAATATGTGGAAAGTACTTTGTAACATAAGCACCAAAATGTAGTTTTATTATCACCAAGGAGACTTTTCTGGACACAACATTATGAAACAAACAGTAATCTATTGCCTGCCACTCACATTGTATAAAAAGACTTCTAGACATCTTTGTCTAACTCCTAAGTATGTTATGATCAAATTTTCTATTTCTTGGATTTCAATGTCCTAGAAAAGGAAAAGCCATAGAATTCTTTTCAAGGGGACTGAGAACATGATCTGCAAGATAAAAAGAGGTTTAGATCTTCTCAGCAAAGAGGCTTTCCGGAATATCAGATACTTGGTTTCAACCCAGAATATATGTTGTCAGAATTTGAGTTCTTCTAGAAGGTGAAATCAGGTACCAACATTAACATTTCACCCAGATAGATTTGTTGCTATATAGACAGAATGAAAAATGAAAGCAAGAAAGACTTGGCTGGGCTCTGCCATTCTTGGATGTAGTTAAACTTTTATAAGGGAATTTTCCAAAGAACTGTGGTGATGCAACATTTGAATACTTGGCTGCTGATCAAAAGGTTGGTAGTTCAAACTTACTGAGGGACTCTATAAGTAAATGACCTAGTATTCTGCTCCCATAAAGACTACAGACTAGAAAACCCTAGAAGACATGTCTTCTTGGTGTCGTGAGGTTAATATGAGCTAAAACTGGCAATAAGTTCTAACAGCAAGAGACATTTTCTAGAGAACATTTTCCAAAGATTAGAGCACCATGTTTGTACTCTTAAATTCCATTCGTTGCGCTCTAGTCTATTGGGATTCTTACATAGTGACTCTTCATTGGATTTCTGAGGCTGTAAACTGCAGTAGGAGAAGACCTCTTCTCTTTCTCCACAAGAGCCACTAGTGGGTTCAAAACTGCCCGAGATGTGCAGTCTCTGGGTTAGCAGCAGTATGGCCACCAGAGCTCCCTGTTTATACTGTAGATGACCAGGAAACTACAGTTTATCTTATCATTTTCCTGTGTTGAGACCTAAGATGCTAAGGGAAATCTGAGTCCTCTGTAGTAGGGGAGAATAAACCTCAAAAATACCTGCAATTGAATCTGATAATACTAATCAGTCTACATTTGTAGAGTTTATGCCTTCCATCAGCGACACGTATAAATGATTTTAACTTTACAAAATCATGTAGTTTCCTTTTGTCCTCTTTAAATGATTGCTTATCCCCAGGTTTCTTGTGAGCACAATTTAGTGTTCTGGAATTCCCATTCATTGCATAGTCAGTAAAACAAAAGCAAACATTTAAAATAGCCTACTATTTAATTCTTTGTTATTGGAGGGATAAATAAGGTATCCTTAGAAGGCTTAAAAGAGTACAGTTCAAAACTGATAGTATTTTAAAAACCAACAAAAAAAAGAAAATGTTCTGTTTATGATAATAGAGAATTTGGCCACTGATACTGATGGTAGTTATGCTTAAAATTGATATCACTGAATTGTACATGTGGAAAATGTTAAATTAAAAACTACTATGTCATCTATAATTTTACAGTATTTAAAATAGGAAAGTATGGGGGGAGGGATAAAATCCAGATGGTACATTCCTTATTTTATTAAGGAAGTCGTATAAAATTAAGTGGGCAGGGAGAAAAATGCAACAGTGAATGAATGGAAATCCAAAATCTCTGTAAATGTTCATTAAAATTAATAAAAGAAAATGTTTTTAAAAAGAATTCAACAAATAAAAAAAATTAGGCAACCTATCTGGGCTTGATTATATCCTCAGAAGCTACTCTATTCCTAAAGATCCATAATCTGTGAGCCTATTAAATTTGAAATATTATAAGTAATAGTACATAGAGTTTTTGAAGACCAGGTCATGGTCTTCATAATAACTTGCTATACATCTGAGAGCTGGACACTATAAGGATGACAGAAGATGAATCGATGCCTTTGAGTTGTGGTGCTGGAAAAGAGTACTAAACATACCATGAAAACAAACAGGCCTGTCTTGGAAAGGGGGAAACCAAGATTCTCCTTGGAGGCTAGGATTTTGAAGCTCCATCTCACATACTTTGGGCACGTGGCCAGGAGAGACCAGTCCCTGGAGATGGACATCATGCTTAGAAGGGTGAAGGGACAGCACAGGAGAGGAAGACCCCGGGTGAGATGGATTAATACAGTAACTAGGGCAATGGGGGTAGGTGTGTCGGAGTCAGTGAGACTGGCTGAGTACAGGAAAGGGTTTAGAGCTATTGTACACAGGGTCACTATGAGTCACAGTTAATTTGATGGCACATGACAACAACAAATAATAATAATTGTTCTCAGATGGTTAGATAGATCTGACGGCTAGAAGATAACAGATAATTGGTTAAGCCTATCTCACAGACTTGCTAAGTCTATTATGGGGCTTTCCAGTCACAGAGAGTGTTGCATGTGTTTGACAAATGCATCTTCTTGGTCAGCAGACATCTGTCAGTTGTATCAGTTGCCTGATCTCTGCAGTCAAGACAAATTCATGTTTGCATTCTGTCAGCACCTCTATGTGTGAAATGGAACTAAAACTTCTCAGAGAGTGCTGTAAAGATGCAGTATTTATCCTATGAAGGATTGGGAAATTAGCACCTTTTAAAAAACTGATTTTGAAGTTTTGTTCTAGCCATAAACTTGGGGTGACACATGAATAAATGAGAATAGTGGAGAGGATATCGAAAGTGAGACTTTTTTAGGTCATTTTTTGAAGACTTCAGTTAACTAGAAAATAGTAAAAGTTCTGTTTTTATAATAATTTAATTTTAACGGTTAAATTAAACAGCTGTCTGGCTACATGTCATTAGGTTAACACAACTATGGGAAATAATTATCAGGAGGCAGAGCTCTTTTTTAAGGGTTGGTGTATCTGCACTTTTGACGTTTTTCTTTTCCTGAGGTTGGATTAATGATACTAAGGTGGGACCAGTCCTTGGAGAAGGCCGTCATGCTTGCGAGGGTGGAGGTACAGCGCAGGAAAGGAAGACCCAGGATGAGGTAGATTGACTCAGTGACTGGGATAGGTTTGTCAGAGACAATAAGACTGACACAGAATAGAGCAGGGTTTAGGGCTGTTGTACATAGGGTCACTATGAATTGCAGGTGACTTGACGGCACATACCAACAACTATCAGTTTTATTTTTCTAAAGTCATTTTACTTTCAACTAAATACTTAAATTTAGACAAATCTAAACTATAGAAAGAGGGATAGAGAATATATTATGGGTCTAAAGAGTAATTCAGATATTATTTCCCCAGTCAGGTCCGATTTGATGGTACACACACGAAAAAATAGTAAAATTTTTTTTAAAAAAATTTTTTAAAGATATTATTTCCTAGTTGTCTCATTCATACCTAGGTCTAATCTAAAAAGCTTAAGGTAGCTAGGCAAAGGAACAGAAATAAGCGAGACCAACTGGATCTGTGGTTGTGGACGTGGTTCTAAAGAACTTGTGGAGATGCAACAAGAGTGGGTTTCGATTTCCTATGGGAGGAAGCTGCTGCTTATATGATCCAGCTTTGCCATGTAAGATTGCTGACCCATTGTGGCCAAATATTCCAATTTTCTGACTTCAAAATAAACATTTTTAGTATTTTAAAATCATTTGCTGCTCGCACAAGACCTGATGCATCAATTTAACTTCCGATTTCAGTTTGGATTGTTAGGATTTGATGGTAGTGTTAGGAGGGTTATCCTTTAAAAGAAAAGGAGTGGTGTTTCTAATTTCTTGAGTCCTCATTTACCAGAGAAGCCTGCTATAGCCTGTTAACCTGTTAGTTCATTTCTCCATCTCACACCAAAAGAAACAATCATATTTCAAACTCAGATCATTGCCTTTAAGTCAGAACCACCACCTAGCTATCTCTCCAGTGGGTTTTCAGAAGCTATCAGTGCTTGAGAAGTATATGTAAATTACATGAGAAAAGATTGCACATCTTTCTCCCTCAGAGCCACTGGTGGATTTGAACCACTCATCATCAGAAGTGCAGTTCCTTACCTGCTAGGTCACCAGAGTGATGTAAATTTGTGAGCTTTTGTCTTGCTTGCTTGTGCCGGTGGTAGGATTGAGTCTGTGCTGTAGGCATGCTCTAATTAGGCATTCTTCTTTTGAGATGTGATGTACAAGAATGTGTGCAATGAATCATGTCTCTTCATTACACATAATATGTCTTTGAGGGTTAGGAAGGTTCCTATGTTTTGTTGGTAGTCCTACTGTTCTTGATCAAAAGCATCAATGCTTGTTAAAAGTAGAAGTCATCAGAGAAGAAGGGAACCTTCAGCGAGATAGGCTGACACAGTGGCTACAGCAGTGGGCTTAAGCTCAGAGGAAATTGTGTAGGTTTTGCAAAACTGAGCAGGGTTCACTCTGCTGTACTAGTGGCTGTTACGTGTTACGGTTGACTTGACGGTACCTAATAACAGTTATGCAGATTGGTCAATGATATATTTGTAAAGGGACTAAAGTGCTGATTTAAAAAAAAAAAAAACCAAAACACAAAACTAATTCATTCTGTGACTTGACTTAATTTAGCAAATAAAAAGAAACGTTGATGAAAAGCATGCCAGGCTGTACCAGACTCTGAATGAAGGTAAACAGCTGGTGGCATCTGTGAGCTGTCCTGAGCTCGAGGCCCAGATTTCAAAACTGGAGGAACAGTGGTTGTCCTTAAATAAAAAAATCGACCATGAACTTCACAGACTTCAGACACTTCTCAAACATCTCATCAGGTATGTTTCCATGGGGTTTGCTGTGGAAAAAGTCGTCACAGATGTAGTCAAGCATATTGTCTTCATTTGTACCTTTTTTTTCCCTTTCAACAGTCTGAAGCAAGTAGGTCTGTCTCCTTTATGAGCTGTAGAGTGTGTTACTGCTTAGCTAGACAATAGACAATATGCAGTCAGTTTGCCTGGAAACATTTACACATTTCCATGGCAAGTAGGAATTTTGTAATAAAATAATATGTATATTATATTTACACAATTCTTCTAAAGGTTTTTTAAAAATTCTTAGCAAACAGAACTCAAGCTCATTGCCATTGAGTTGGGACCAACACGTGCCTAACTCCCCACTAGGTTCCAAGGCTATAAATCACTTGAAAGGATGGCCCGTATTTCTCCTGTAGAGCTGTTGGTGGATTCAAACCACCAGAGGAGTGAACTCGCTCTACAAAGAAAACCCCAAACCTTTGTTGTTCTGTAGAAAAAAATTTTAATTGGTTTAATCTTGGACCACTTGGTAAAAGCAGAGAATGTGCAAAATTTGTTGTTATGTGCAGTTGAGTTAGAACTGACTCCTAGCTGACCCTCTAGCAACTTTTCAAAGGCTATAAGTAGCACTGGTTGAAATTGCCTGTCTTTCTCCCACAGAGCAACTGATGTGGTTGAACCATATGCCCTCAGGTTAGGGAGCTCTGAGGGCCTGCTGGTCAGGATCTGTGTTGCCAGTCCAAAGGCCCGTGGCTTGAATCCACCAGCTGTCCCTCAGGAGAAAGATGGGAAATCTCCTCCCATGCTATTTACGGCCTCTGAAAACCCACTGCAGGGTCAGCTATGAGTTGGATCTGACTCAGTGGCACATAACAACAGCCTTTGGGTTGGCAGTGCAGCTCCTTACCTTTATGGCACCAGAAAGTTTAGACTTCATTTTTATTCCTGTTCTTTGCCTAACTAAATTGAAACATTATATGAGGGACAGTATTTTGTTTGTAGACCAAATGAATGTATTTTGTCTAGCCATAACATAATATGCTGTTATATAACCTACATACAAGCTTCATAAAAGCAAATCACTCATTTAGCTGTCAAGCTGTTTCCTACTCAGAGTGACTCTTCCATCGGGTGTCCACTCTCCATCAGATTTCCAAGGTTGTAAATCTTAGTAGGAAGGATAGCTCAACTTTCTGCCTGGGAGTCACTGGTGGATCTGAACCACTGGAGACATAGGACTTTCTGGTTAGGGGCGAAACACGCTGCAGACTTTGCCACCACAGCTCTTTAAGTAGTTCTGCAGAAAATGGAAAGTAATCTCTGTCCTGTCCATGTTATACTTCTGTGGTGTTATAATAAGCAGTCAAAGAATGTTTCAGACTTTAAAATAGCCCTTAGTGGGTTGATTAATTATAATGCAGAAAGTACTAGAAATACTAAGAACTTTAGAAACAGGATGCAATTCTTATAAACAAGATTTTCAGAGTGATAGAACTGGTCACAATAAGAAAATAACAATAAAATAGAAAAAATATTAAAGATGTATATGTCATCATTGAAATGTTTTTCATTTCTTTGTCTCTCATTTGCTTTCATTTAGCTATAACAAAGATTCAGATGAGTTAACCAAGTGGCTGGAATCTTCTCAGCAAACTCTAAATTACTGGAAAGAACAGTCCCTCAATGTGTCTCAGGACTTGGATACAATCAGAAGCAACATAAGCAACTTTTTTGTAAGTTGGCTTTTTTTGCTTGTTTTGGTTTTTAAATTTTATTAATTTTAATGAACATTTACAGGGATTTTGGATTTCCATTCATTCATTGTTCCACTTTTTTCTCTACTCCCCCTTTCCCCCCGTTCGTTCCTGTCTTTGAAAAGCAAAAGATAAACTTCTTCGTTGGTATACAATCCCCCCGGCCCCCACCGCGAATGCACTCCACTATGCAACCTTAATTCTGGATTCCTGTGATAATCATAATGCCCTATCATATATCGCTTTTAAACTGTTCTCTCCCTCATCTGTTTCAATTCAGCATACATTTTTTACACTCAAATAATTATTGGTTTGAAATACCAAGAGTGTCAAGATGGAGATGATAGCCTGGTTCACTTTCTACAAAGAATAAAACCTGGCCTACTGATAATGCAACAGTGGACTCAAGTGTGTCCGAAGGGTGAGGATGGCACAGGACAGGGCAGGGTTTGGGTCTGCTGTTCACAGGGTCCGTATTAGTCATACTCAACTCAGTGGCACTTAAGAACAACAAATGATAATAATTACATTTTCATTTGGATCTTATAAAATATAAACAAATATAAAGCTTACTCTGACACAAGGGGCTCTGGTGACTTAGTGGTAAGGAGTTTCACTGCCGACCTAAAGGCAGGCAGTTCAAATCTACCAGCTGCTCTGTGGGAGAAAGACGGGCAGTTTCCTCCCATACAGTTTATAGCCTCTGAAAACCCACTGGAGGGGCAGCTGTGAGTCAGTTCCCAAATGAAATCATGACTGCCTCTGATAGAAGGTGATTTTTACAATTTCAGAAAATACCCCCAAAAAAAACTCTACAGGATTATTTATAGAAGCATTTGAATTTTTTATAAAGGTTGACATTTCTACTGAAAGCTTGTTGTTCTATTATTTTAGAATTTTCTTTTGAAGAAGATAATACTTTTACAATAATTGCAGTAATACAACTCTTGTGTTTTCCTTTTATCTGTTTTGTCATATTTTGTAGCTATAGTTACTCTCCTAAGTATTAAAACATGTATATTTTCAAATATTTGAAGAAAGGTGGTAGCTTTCAAATATTTTAATTGTTTTCAAATATAAAATTTTTTTCAAATATAAAATATTTTCATATAAAAGTATCTTCTTGTTGTTGTTATGTGCCATTGAGTCGCTTGCAACTCAATAGCGACCCAGTGTACAACAGCCCTAAACTCTGCTTTGCCCTGTGCCAATCGCACTGTCTCTGATACACCCATCACGATTGCCCCAGTCGCTGAATCAGTCAGCATGATAGAGGGCCTTCCTCTCTTGCGCTGTCCCTCCATCCTCCCCTCCTAAGCACGATGTCCCTCTCCAAGGACTGGTCCCTCCAGTATCTACAGTATGTTCTCAGAAATTGGGCTTTTGTGTCTGAATGTTGTGTGACCACCATGTTATATGCAAGCAATTCCCATACAATCTGTATTAAGTCCCCACAAAGCCTATTGTAGTAAAACCTTATGGGAATTGGCTGATCAAGACCTAGTGGCACAGTGAGTTAAGCACTGTTAACAGAAAGATCATAGTCTAAGTCCAGCAGTCAGGCCATGGAAGAAAGATGAGGCAATCTGCTCCCATAAAGATTTACCGCCTCAGAAACACACATACACACACTCTCTCTTCCCCCCTCCCCCTCACCTCCTCCTCTCCTCCTCCCCGCCCCCTCCCCTCTCCCTCTTTGTGTGCGATGTGTGCACTCTCAAGTTAGAAATAACTCACGGCTGGACCTCTAGCAGATTTTCAGAGACAGTAAATCACATGTGAGGAGATTGCCCATCTTTCTCCCACAGAGCAGATGGTGGATTCAAACCACATACCTTTGAATTTACAGTGCAATTCCTTACCATTAAATCTCAAGCAGACCTTCAAATATTTACTATTTTTATTTTGGCCTCTGTTGTGTTATACTGAAACTTTGCTTTGTTTTGCGTATACTGTTTTAAACGTTTAAAGGCTCTGAATTTTAAAACTTGCTTCCATTAGGAGTTCTCAAAGGAAGTGGATAAAAAGTCCTCTTTAAAAACAGCAGTTGTGAGTACAGGGAACCAACTTCTTCACCTGAAAGAAGCTGATACAGCTACCCTGAGAGCATCCTTAGCACAGTTTGAACAAAAGTGGACAACACTCATAACTCAGCTTCCTGATATTCAAGAAAAGCTTCACCAGGTAAGTGTTTAAAGACACCACGTTTGAATTAGCGTTCTCTTGTTAATGTGTAGAAATTATTTCTCTGACTCAATTATTTTCATTGATACTACCTCATTTTCTCCAGCACGACTGAATACAGGTCTTAATTACTGGACGCTCCTCCAGTGGTTTCTTTAGTAAGAGAGAAATCAGGCTTAATTACTTTACTTCTCTGTTTATCTGTGCCTCTGTGGTAGTTTATGTGAAGGACACTGCCATTGTTCAGGGGTCGCGCATTCTAAGTTGGAATGCTGGGTTGGTTCTTTGAGTAACCTGTGTAATTATGAAACAAGACCTTCTATCAAATCTTTAGTGATGCCCTGATTCCTTTTGTTAACTGAAGGTAATTAAATGGAAATAATTTTGTCCTTGCAGCTTCAGATGGAGAAATTGCCATCTCGTAAAGCAATCGCGGAGATGATTAGCTGGATGAACAATGTAGAGCATCACATGGCAAATGAAGACCCTGTACGTTCTTTAAGTTCTTCAGCTCAAGTTAAAAATCATCTTCACAAGTATAAGGTAATTATACAAAAGGAGCCAAAAGTCTTTTAATGATATGAGAAAGCAAATCAGTGTGAAGTTAAATGCTAAACAAAGAGACATGGAGAAGATAATCTTCAAAAATGAATTTTCAGGTGGTGAGGGAAAAGGTGTCAGATGACTTTAATGATATAAATTCATGTTGTTTAAATTCATACTGTTTCAATTCATTTAATAGCTCCCCTAGCCACAGAATATGCCATTAAACTTCCCTTTTATAAACACCGGACTATATTTGATCCAAACAATTTGTAATCTCTCAGCCACTTCCAAGGAATCCTGACAGCACAGTGGTTAAATGCACTAGGCTGCTAATGAAAAGGGCAGTGGTTCAAAACCACCAGACACACTGTAGAAGAAAAATGTGGCAGTTGGTTTATATAAAAATTAACAGTTGGGAAACTTTTTGGGGCATTTTTATTCTTCTTCAGTGGTGAGACTTACTGTGAGGGGAGAGCAACAGTAATAGGTTTAAGTCCTCTGGTGCTCTCCTTCCTCCGTGCTTTTATATGTGGTGTGCCTTGATCTGGAATGCCAGTGCCCCATTTTGGGCAAAGATCCTTCTAGTCATCCTTCAAGAGACAGCTCCATTATTGTAGAATAAGTATGATGGTCCAAGGAGAAGGGGGGGTGGAAGAAGAGGGATGAGGATGGACGGGGGGGTTGGGTGGTTAATCATAGGGTCACACAATTTGATGGCTGGAGGTGAAGGAAATGTGAAAGACCCCATGTGAAAAACAATGTATTTGGACTTTGTTAATAAATCAGTGTAAAATAAAGTAAAAATGAAAATAACCATGCGGGGAGGGGAAGAGGCAGCTCCAGTATTTTCTCATCTAGAAATCCTTCACTGACTCTATAATTACCTGTCCACTTGCCTGGCTCCTCATCTAAACTGAGTTTATTGAGAGAAAGGACTACTCTTCTGCTTTATGATCCTAGTATAATACCCACCATCTGAGTGTTAAGGGAGCTCTGGCAGCCTAGTGGTAAGGATTTGCACCACTATCACAAAGGCATGTAGTTCAAACCCACTAGCTGATCTAGAAGAGAGGAATGGGTAATCTCCTATGCTATTTACTGCCTCTGAAAACTTTCTAACGGCTCAGCTATGACTCAGTTCTGACTCTACGGTACTTAACAACAGCAATAGATGTTAAATAAAGCTCTTTGAGCAAGACAGTGAGTAAATGAAAAATTATATCCTTCTACATGCAACCACCTTTGTGGTATTTATTTTCAGGTAGATTTAACTAACATTTAAAAAGTTACACACAAACCATTATTGTGTGCCATTATTGGTGCTAAATACTGAGAAGACAGAAATGAAGTCCTGTTCATTGATTTCTTAAAGACCTCAAAGATTGGTTGATTTGCCTCTGGTAGGCAGAAGGGGAATCATTACTTAATCGAAAAACATGATACTAACAACAGACTTTTCTATACCATCACATCTTAACATCCATGAATCTTTAAAGAGTTTCCATGTATATAGTCTTTAAGTCTTTAGTGGCCTGTCTCATAGGTGGTTTTCCACCTTGCTGTCTCCAAAGGAAGTGTTAGACCTTTCCAGGGTACAACCCAACAAATAGCATACTTGATGAGGAATCATGCTTGACTCCCTATGGATTTAGGGTTCCTGTGAGTTGAAAAGGGGAATTCTGGTGACCTAGTGGAAAGGAGTTGTGCTGCCAACCCAAAACCTGCCAGTGGAGGGGCAGCTGTGAGTCAGATCCAACTCAGTGGTACATAACAACAGCATGTGTTGTGAAGGTACCCATACCTCTCCAGGAGACCTGAGAGCTGTCTAAATTGGAAAATTCCCTAAAGGTATTCTGTGTTTTGTGTGGCATCCCTTCTTGCTGTTCCTGTAAGCCACCAGGATGAGTCAGCAATGCTGTGTAGATCTCAGGGTAGCGTCTCAGAGGAACCCTTTGTCACACACTGGGAGCTAGCTTTGGTTCAGATGATAACACAGTGCTCCCTTTGGCATTTCATTCTGTTTGAAATTGTTTCATAATCCCAAATCAAAGCAGTATCGTTGGGAGAGGGGATGGGTAAGATAGAGAAGGTAGAATATGACTTCTGACAGACTCCAATCTAAATGTGGTCTTGGAACTTTTTTGTGTGTGACAACTCTGATAAAGAGGATTTTATGTGAATTCATCTTAGTTCAGAACGTGGATCTAATGATAGTGCTAGAGACAGTCAAGAATTCTCTGGAAGCTCTATGTTACAACTTACTGTTTTTGTTAGGTGCCATTGAATGGAGTACAACCCATACTGACCCCATGAACAACAGATCTGAACCTTGTTCTATCCTGTGCCACCCTCATAATTTTTTTAAACTACATTATTTTTTTGTGTGTACCATCACATCACATCTGACTATTACAGGAGGAGATTGTCCCTCCTTCTCCAGCAGAGCATCCGGTGGATTTGAACTGCACACTTCTGGGATTGCAGTGCACCTTCTTGCCACTAGGCCACCAGAGCACACTCATCCTCATAATTTCTGACACACTCAAGTCCATTGCTGCAGTCACTGTGTCAGTCTAACTGGTTGAGGGTCTTTCTCACTTTGGTTGATCTTCACATTTCCAAGCATGATATCCCTTTCCAAGGAATAACCTCTCCTGACAACATGCCCAGAGTATGTGAGACAAAGCTTTAAATCCTTGCTTCCAAGGAGCACTGTGACTGCACCTTCCCCAAAACATACCTGCAATTTCGCCATCCATGGGATACTCAGTACTCATCTTCAACACCACAGCTCAAAGGCATCGATTCTTCTTCTGTCATCCTTAGTCATTATCTAGCTCTCAACTGCATAGCAAGTGACTGAAAAGCCATGGTTCTTTCAGCTTAAGAAATGCCAAGTGAGTTCTTCCCTTCCTATTCTCCAATTCCAGCTCTCTGCACATTCCATTATACTACTTTACATTGTCTTCTCAAGGTGCCATTTGAAATCTGTTCAGGTCTTTTACTTTAGCTTCTCTTCCCTTTGTTTTGACTTCTTGACACCATAGTGCAATTTTCAGTCTGTTCTGACATCCATTTTGGTTTTGTCTTCTCTCTGTCTTTGTAATGACCTTTTTCTCTTCATGGACAATATCCTTGATGTCATCCTAAAACTCATCTGCTCTTCAAACATTGGTGTTTCAATGCTTCAAACATATTCTTAAGATAATTTTTAAATTTAAATGGAATAGATTCAGGATCATATTTTGGTTCTCGGGGACTTGTTTTTCTTTTCTTCAGCCTCAGTTTGAACCTTCACATGAGTTGTTGTTGTTAGGTGCCATCGAGTTATTTGTGACTCATAGCGACCCTATGTACAGCAGCCCTAAACCCTGCTCTATCCTGTGCCAATCACATTGCCTCCGATACACCCATCCCGATTACCCCAGTCACCAAATCAGTCCACCTCATAGAGAGTCTTCCCCTCCTGCACTGTCCCTCCACCCTCCCAAGCATGGTGTCCCTCTCCAAAGACCTGTCCCTCCTGGCAACATGTCCAAAGTATGTCAGACGAAGCCCCAGAATCCTTGCCTCCAAGGAGTAGCCTGGTTTAACCCTCTCCAGGATGAATCTGTTTGTTTTCTTGGCAGTCCAGGATACATTCAATACTCTTCTCCAGCACCACAGCTCAAAGGCATCAATTCTCCTTCTATCCTCCCTAGTCATTGTCCAACTCTCTGATGTATAACAAGTGATCGCAAAGACCATGGCCTGTATCAGGCGCACCTTAGACTCCAGAGAGACACCGTTGCTCTTCAGTACTTTAGAGAGGTCCCTAACAGCAGACTTTCCCACCGCAATACGTTTCTTGATTTCCTGGCTACTGGTGCCAAGAGTGTTGACCATGGAGCTGAGCAAACTGAAACTGTGAACAATCTCAATCTCTTCACCATCCATCCTGATGCTACCAATTGGTCCAGTGGTGAGAATCTTTGTCTTCTTAACATTGAGCCTCAGTCCATACTGAAGGCTGCAGTCCTTGACCCTCTGCAGCAAGTGCATGAGGTCCTCCTCAGTTTCAGCAAGAAGGGTTGTGTCATCTGCATAACATAGATTGTTAATAGATCTTCCACCAATCCTGATGCCACAATTCTCCTCATAGAGCCAAGCCTCCCAGATAATCTGCTCCACATACAGGTTGAAAAGGTATAAGACAGGACACATCCCTTTCGTACACCCTTTCCAATTTTGAACCATGCAGTGTTGCCCTGCTCTGTTCTGACAACTGCCTCTTGGTCCAAGTATAGGTTTCGCATTAGCACGACTAAATGTTCTGTGATTCCCATTCTTCTCAGAGTCAGCCACAGTTTGTTATGATGCAAACAGTCAAACGCCTTTGCATAATCAATGAAACACAGATAGACATTCTTCCGGAATTCCCTGCTTTCAGCTAAGATCCATCTAACATCAGCTACAATATCCCTAGTACCATGACCCCTTCTAAATCCAGCCTGGACTTCTGGCAATTCTCAGCTGATGTGCTTTTCCAGTCTTTTTTGGATAATCTTCAGTAGAGTCTTGCTTGCATGTCAAATCAATGATATTGTTCTGTAGTTTCCACACTCAGTTGGGTCATCCTTCTTTGGAATGGGAACAAATATAGATCTCTTCCAATCAGTTGGCCAAGTGGTTGTTCTTCAGATTTCTTGGCACAACTTGGTGAGCACATGCAGGGCAGCATCTGTTAGCTGAAGTTGATGGTCTTTACCATAGGCATCACCTGGCCTGGTTTTGGCTGCTGATATTACTCTTCTCCAGTAATTTCTTCCACAAACTCAGTCGGTCAGATCCCTCTGCAGTCCATCATGTGAGGTTCATGTGTAAAGTCACCATTTGTGTTTTTTTTAAATGGAATTTATGATGAATAAATCATTGAATGTACAAAATTTGATCATTCTGGTTCTAGCTTCATTTCTGTCATCAAGTCAATACTTTCCAACTACTTTCTTTCTTCATTGTTTCCAACTTTTGCATTCCAGTCACCAATTATCATTAATGCTCTTGATTGCATATTTAGTCAGTTTTGGCCAGCAAGATTATATAAAATATCTCCCATTTCTCCTCTTCCATTTTAACTGTTGGTGTGTATATTTTAATAATAGTCATATTAACAAGTCATCTTTGTATGTTTATGGATAATACCCTATCACTCACAGCATTGTACTTCAGGATACTTGAAATTGTCTTTTTAACTATGACTGCACAACCACTCTTCGTCTGTTCCTCATTCCCAGCATAGTACACCATGTGATTGTCAAAGCCAGTCCATTTCATCTCATCAATGCCTAGAACATTGATGTTCGTGTATTCCATTTCATTTTTCACAATTTCTATTTTTCTAGCACTTGTACTCTGTCCAGGCTATGTTCTGACCATTAATGGATGTTTGCAGCTGTTTCTCATGTTGCTTGACTTCCAGTCTGGGCTCTATTCCTAATACAACAACTATCCATGTTCTTCTGTTCATATGATTTTCAGAGGCCTACCTTTTTTTTATAGTTCTATAACTTTATTTGATAATCAACTATTAGTTTCATCCACATTGACAATCTGTAGACAGAGTTTTTGAAAGTGGTGACAGGTACATAGGTAACTGGTGCATACAGCTTGTTTGGGGAATCTTCATCCTCGTTACGTTTTCTGGACAACCGTACACGGATGGCGTATGGGACATTCCTTGTTCCTTTGGCTCAGATGCCTTTGTTAAGCCTGGTGTCAGTGCAAATAGCTCGTGTTTCCATCTCCTTCATGGCAGATTTCTGGATCTCCTTGAGAGCCTGAGAGGCACACTTGTTAAATCCCACTCCCTGAATGCGCTTGGGAATGTTGATGGAGTCCTCTCTGGTCACCACTTCGTTGATTGCTGAACGACCTTTCTTAATCTCATCACCCTTCTTTGTGGGGGCCGTAGCACTGTAACCAGGCTGGAAAGCAGAGGCCTGCTATTTTTATTACTATTTATTTTCTTTTATTTTATTACTATTATTATTATTTTTGTGTGTGTACCGTCAAATCAAATTTGACTGGTACAGGAGGAAATTGTCCCTCCTTCTCCAGCAGAGCATCTGGTGGATTTGAACTCGCACCTCTGGGACTGCAGTGTAGCTTCCTGCCACTAAGCTACCAGAGCTCGCTAGAGGCCTACTGTTAAGGAAGTGGATGACCAATCCTAGATGACGAGGTTATGGCCAGACCATCCCTGCCTTAATGGGTGTGAGCTGGTGTGAATAAAAGAGAAATCCAATTCATTCAGGCTTTGATGTTGTTTATTCTTATTTGCTCCCTTTAGGAATTTAGGATGGAAATGGACTATAAACAATGGATAGTTGACTTTGTTAACCAGTCACTACTTCAGTTAAGCACTTGTGATGTAGAAAGTAAACGCTATGAAAGAACAGAATTTGCAGAGCACCTGGGAGAATTGAACCGCCGATGGCACCAGTTACATGGAACACTAAATAAGAAGGTATGTTCACATGTCAGAGTTTGATGTATGGTTTGACCTTTGCAAAATACCACTTTTTTAAATATGCAGGAGAGAGGGGGGGGAAAAGACATATTCAGATCTTTACATTGCAGTTAAGCCTAGCTCTCATTCCACTTGTAACCTTTTTCTAAATCATGGGTAGAGACTTTGGTGCCACAGTGGTTAATTGATCAGCTGCTGTTAAAAAAGTCTGCAGTTCTAATCCCCAGCCACTCCGTGGGAGAAAGAGGAGACCGCCAGCTTTGGTAAAGAGACCTGGGGGCAGTTCTGCTCTGTTCTGGAGGCTTATTATGGATTAAAAAGACTTGACAACAATAGTTTATTTAATCTTTTCTTTTTCACCACTGGTGCACCTAGGAGACTATGAAAGTAGTTCTTCTATTTCTTGTGAGAGTCTTAGTTGGAAATTGAACTAGACAAGTGAATAAGAGAAATTTTATTTAATAAGATGTCAAGTATGTATCAGGTTACTAAGTGATGAGAAATATTTGACATTTTTCTGTGAAAGTAGGTGTTCAAAAGGTCAAAGTTATTAAAGATTATAATGTGAAGGTAAATGTACATGGCATTTTGGTAAATTTTTTACTCTGTGTCTCTGTGAAAATTAAGATAATTTATTTTTGGAAAAGTATATCAAATGACGACTGGATGACATCTGTATTTTGTAGAGTATGCATACAGTTGAGTTTATTGAATGACAGTTCAAATAATGAATGGACAAAGAATGTAAACAAATAACTTACAAACAGAATATTATAATTAGTCAATAATGTTTCCGCTTCAGTTACCAATTAAAAAATAAACATGTATAGTCTTATTACAGTAAAATGAAAATAAAATAAGGGTAAAACTTAAAACTACTAGAAAATTTTAAGAAACATATAATCATTCTAGCTTTTAACCCAGCAACCTACCTTTTAGATATTTGTCATAAGTCCTTCAAAAAGGAAAATAAGTGTATGTACACCCTCAGTGTTCACCATTATTTATACTGGCAAAAATGTAGAATGTCTTCATTTCCTATTATGGATGAACAATTAATCAGCCTGTACTTTTTCAAATCAGTGTAAAGAGTCAGTCATAATTTATGGCATAAAAAAAGACTATAAAAATTTGTTTATACTTTGAATAAAATGAGAATTATGCTACACTTAAGAAATTAAAAGAATCACATATACTAAAAGCCATAATTGGTTTGTTAAGTTGATAGAACTGTGAAATTTCTTTACTGTTGACATAAATTTTTATGTAAGCATGAGTCTGGGGAACATTCTTTAGAGCTTTACATGTTATACAATTTAAAAAAGCTATTGAATCCTCACAACATGATCTTATTTTTACAAATTTATGAAACTCTAAAGCAACCAGGTTTCTTATCACAGTAGCTTCATTTTTAAGAGAATTTCTGTTCCAGGAATTATTAGAAATGGTCATTACAAATATTGTACATTGAAAAAATACCAATTTTTTAAAAAAAAAATACGTATAACAGAGTTTACATTATAAACATGTGGTCTCTAATGAAGGGAATTTTATTATTTTTTTTAATCAATGGGTTATAGGTCCAACGTTTTGAGCAACTTTTGGAAAGTATCACTGAAAATGAAAACAGAATACAAATTTTTAACAACTGGCTGGAGGCGCAAGAAGAAAGACTGAACACTTTAAAGAAACCCGGAAGTGTGATCTCAGTTCAAAAGACCCTCCTGGACTGTCAGGTAGGAGGGGCGCAGCATCTCCCCAGGACAGCTGGGTTGTTGTGTCCGTCACCACCACCCACACCTACAAACCTAAAGGAGGCCTGACGGTGTCGTATGTTGCACATAGCAGTGGGAACCAAAGAGTCACTGGTTCACGTCCACCAACTTCTCCCTGAAAGAAGGATGAGTCATAAAGATTGACAGCCTCAATAATCAGTAGCAGTTTGCTATAAGTCGGAATTGGCACAGTGATACTGGATTTGGTGGTTTTTTTTGCTTATTTGTTTATTTTAACCTGGAAACTCAAGCATGACAGAGATTATAAGGATGATGCAGGATAGGCCAGCATTGTGATTAGTTGTTCATAGGGTCACTGTGAGACATAGTTGACTCAATGGCATATAAAAACAACACCACTTAGAGTTGGCAGTTCGGACCTGCCAATCACACACTCCGCCTTCTTCTGAAAAGATTACAGCCAGGAAGAGTCTGAAGAGTTCCACTCCACAGCACATGGAGGTGCTATGAGTTTGAATTAGTTTGATGGCATTGGATTTGGGGTCTGGGTTTTGTTTTTTTTCACTTGTGCCTCTACCTAAGCAGAGTTGCTGCTGTTTTGAAGGAGTCTTCTCTGAGCCCCCATATATCCATGAGTTTTACAAAATTACAAAACACTGTTTTTTTTATAATAAACAAAAGAAGGTACTGTTATTGTTGTTCTTAAGTAGTTTGACTGTTGTATGCTGTCAAAGCAACTACTGCCTATGTAGTGACCCTATAAACAGATCTAACCCTTGCCCTACTCACTGCTGTCCTTACAATCTCTGCCATGTTCAAGTCTGTTGTTACAGTGAGTGTGCCAGTCCATCTTTTTGAGTCTTTCTTTCTGACTCAGAGACTAGCCCCTCCTGACAACGAGCTTACAGTGTGTGAGAAGTTTCGCCATCTTTGCCTGTAAGGAGCACCGTGTTCACACTTCGTCTGAGATAGAGTTGTTTGTCCTTTGGCAGTCCACAAGATACTCAGCTCGCTTCTCCGGCACCACAGCTCAAAGGCACTGATTCTTCCTCTGTCATCCTTATTCATTGTCTGACTTTTGGATTCATAGAAAACAATTGAAAATACTCTTGGTTGGATCAAATGTACCTTAAGCCTTTAAACTGACCTCCTCCTTCTTTACCACTTTGGAGAAGTCCTTGACAGCAGATTTTCCCAGTGCACAGCTTTTAATTTCTTTGAAAACTCATTTGAATGTTAATCCTGGAAAGAAAAAAGTTTGAAGGGAGTTTTTATTTAGGTACTTCCTCTTTATTGTGAGGTGGTTTTTTGTTTTTATTTCACCCAGTATTTATAATAATACTGTGAAGTTCCTGTTCTTAGCATTTCATTCTGTTTAAAAAGAATTCTTCTTTCTTGTAAGGACCACTTATCCCTTAGTGCCATTACCTGAGTCACATTTGGGTTTGAGAATGTGGACTGTGACACGCGCGCGCACACACACACACACACACACACACACCCCACTTTGCTTTATTCTTTATTCAGTTGCCATTTCCTAGGCCACCAAGCTTTTGAGAGGTTCTTTCCTTAAATGTAAATTAATCCTCCTCAGAAACTGTCCTCTCTGTCACTTCCTTTTAAAAACACTGTGCTCTGCATTGCTTCTGAAGGCATACACATCGCTGACATTTCTCTACTCCAGGGGGAGATAGACCACACTTATCACTGTCATGTGTGACCTCTCAAATCAGATGTCACATCTACGTAGGCGTTTAATCCAGAGAGGTTTCCAAAAGGTGATAATCTGTAATCTAACTCCATACCAGCCATCTCCACTGTAGATTTCTTTCCTACTTCCCTCCTGACTTCCACAACACACAGCCCCCAGCACAATGCTTACATTCCATTACATACAATCCACCAACACAGTCTCTGTACCAGCTGCTCTTCCCAGAAATCAGAAATGCCGTTCATCCTCATCAGTGTCATTGTTGGGTGCTGTGGAGCTAATTTTGACTCAGCTTTCTTAGCCTCTAATAGTTACAGAGTCCACCAGTATTCCCTTCTCCTTCTGCATGAGTGCACTCAGTTTATTCCTTACTGTGTTATCAGTCTATCCCAGTCAACAACTCTGCATCAGAATTGACTTATCGCTGACTCTCCAGTAAGTTTTCAGAGACTGTGAATCACTTGGGAGGAGATTGTCCATCCTTCTGTATCTTTCAAGAATGGCTCAATTCAGGCCATGCTAAGGCCTGTTTTATCATGACTCGAGGCTTGAATTTGTTTTTCAGTTCCCTCTGCTGAGAAATGCCAAGCACGTTCATCCCTTTTTATTTTCCAACTCTAGCTCTTTGCACTTTTTGTTTTAATACTTTGTTTTGTCTTCATGAGCTCCTCTTTGAATTCTGTTCGGCTCTTGAACTTCCTGATTTCTTCTCTTTGTTGTGGCTTCTCAGCATTCTGGTGCAACATTTAGAGTGTCTTCCAGCGTCCATCTTGGTCTTTTATTCCTGCTCTTTCAATGACCTTTTGATGTTTTCATGGATATAACCATCCCAAAGCTCATCTGGTGTTTTTTCATTAGTGTTCAGTGCCTCAAACCTGTTCTCTCTTTTTTTAAAAAAAAAAACCACTTGTTGAGTGCTGTCAAATCAGATCCTACTGACACAGGAGAAGATTGCCCCTTCTCCAGCAGAGCATCTGGTGGATTCAAACCACGCACCTTCAGGATTACGTACAGCTTCTTGCCACTAGGCCATCAGAACTTAAATTTAGGTAGGATAGACTTGAGGTAGTATTTTGGTTCTGTGGATTTGTTTGCATTATATTTAGCTTTGAGAGCCATGTAATTTACAATAACTGAAAAGTCATGGTTAAAGTCATGTGGTGGCACCATGATTCAAGGCCATCAGCTGGCCCATAGGCACTTGGTTCCCATGTGATTAACTGCCTCTGAAAACCCGCCAGAGGGTCAGCTATGGGTCGGTTCCGACTCTACAGTACCCAATAGTGCTGTTTAGAGATAAATCCTCTCTCCTAAACTTTATTTTCTTTTATTTGGGCATGTCAAAACTTTCCTCTTGCTTCTCTAGGATTTAGAAAATCAACTTGCAGTTAAATCCAAAGCCTTGGAGGAGCTGAAACAAAGTTACCTGACTGTGGAGAGCGACACTATACCATTACTAGAAGATACAGCATCCACAATCGATGGTTTATATCAAAAGAGGAACAGAGTTCTTGATCAGGTGTGGAATTCATTTCAAGTGCCCTCTATAGCTTTCTTGTACTTGTTTGTTTGTTAAAATGTTTATTCTTTTTTTCTTTTCCAAATTGACACCCATGGAGCACATGATAAATTTAAGTTTCTTATACTTTTTAAAAGTACCTTTACTAAAAGGCAGTTTGGGTCCCGCAATTTTCTTTCTTTTTTTTTTTTTAAATAATTTAGATGAACATTTACTGAGCAAAGTCCTTTTCCATTCAAATTTCTTTTATCCTTATTATTGTTGTTAATATTCTTCTCTCACAGAGACTCTCCTCTCCGTAGGCCAAAAGTTGAGAAATTGTTAAGAAAAAAAGCTAAAGTGAAATAAAGGGGAGGTTACAAATCCTGGTTTTTTTCCACTAAATAGCACAATGCTAACATTCCAGTGATAACAGACCCTGGTTTATCCTTGTTTAGACTAACGTATTTGCGAAAGCGGGACTGTCTCCATCCCCAGTCCCCAACAGAACATCTATTATTGTTTTCTGGCCAGTTGGTCTATGCAGATCCCCCAAATGCAGGGATATGTTGTAGGGAATGGGTAATACATCACGCACCCCTTATAGGCTGGGTGAGTGGTCAGCACAGAACTTCACTATGAAGCATTACCATGAAGAGAAAGAATGTGCACAGTGGCTGGTGAGGAAGGCCTGTGTGCAGACAGAATTACCCCACCCAGGAGGAGGGCACCGAAAGAGAGGAAGAAGGGGTATCTCTAGACATTAGAACCTTGGCATTTCCCCTCAACAGAGGAGGCAGCCTCTAAATGCTAACCAACTCCAGGTTGGTCCATGTTTCCTAGTGAATCTTTATTTTGAAAAATTTGCCAGTTGCTAAGATGGATGTACTTCGCACTGTGTGTTCCAGAGAAAACGTAATCACTTGTATGCATGAAATCCATAGTAGCTTACCGTCTCCATTCCCAAGTGCGATTGTATTCTGAATGGAGAGGAAGTGGCAGTTGGCAAGGACAGAGGGGGGCACCTTCCAACCCACTGATACCATGATAGATGCCAGGATAATTGAATGGCAAAAAAACACCAAATCTTTTCAAGAAATATAGTGCGAGGCCACCTTCATATCCCCAAGCAAAAAAGTAAAGTTGAACCCTACCTCATACTATATACAAAAATACATTCAAAATGGGTCAAAAACCTGACTCTAGAAGAAAGCATAAGTGTAAATCTTTGTAACTTTGGATTAGGCAGTGGTTTCTTAATATGACACCAAAAAAGCACCAAGAAAAACTGACTTTGTAAGGAACTGCCCCATTTTACATTTCATCAGTAATGGAATTTCTTTGCAACACATTATTCTCTGTCTTTTTGTGAAATAGTATCTCACTCTAGTTTTCATTTGTATTTCCTTAATGACTTAACATATTACTCTAATAACATGTGTGCTTGTTGGCCAGTTGTCTGTCTTTGGAGAAATATCTACTGAACACCTATGTCTATTTATTAGTTTGTTTCTTCTTTTTCTGTTGAGTTGCAGGGGTTTTTTTATATTCTGGCTGGTATGAGATCCTGTTAAATGGGTGACAAAATGCTTTGACTCCTACTGTTACCACGATTATCAAAGCCTACTTATGGGGGAAGTGTGCCTGCTGTTGCAGTTCCTGCTGCTTTGCACTTGTCTGTCCTTCAGCTAGAATATGTTCATCTCTTGGTTGTACTTTTTCAGTGGTAGTAATCATCTGAGATGTTGAGTGGCACTGTGATCTTATAATGCTTGATGACTTTCTGCACATTTTCACAGATAATACCTGTTATTTCATTTATTGCCTGTGTCTCACAGGTTAAAAAACAAATAGGTTGTAACTGAAATGTGCCATCACCAGCTCTTATTACTTGCCGGTTTTCATTCCCCAGAACTCTTGGTGCTGGTACTTCTCGTGGTGCTCTTTGACACTCATTCATATTAAAACCTCACCATCTCTGATCTGTTTATTCCTTCGCCAGTTCTTCCCCCCTCTAGTTAATTACTGAAGAGTTGCCGATATTCTTATGTTTAAATGCCTAAATTGGATGGAGTGATAAGAGTCAGGAGAAGGCAAGTAAATGTTGAAAGAGCATGTCTTCCCAGTGATTTTCCTCAAGTTATTTCTACTTTTCCTAAAGGTCAATCAGCTCAAAACTTCAACGCAGTCAGTTTTACAAGACTGGAAGATTTACGATAAACTCTATGACGAGGTGAATATGATGACAATCCGATTCCAGTACTGCCTAGAACACAGCCAGCCCGCGGTGCTGTCATTGGAGGCCTTGAGATTCCAGGTGCAGACCCTTCAGGTAAATTAACTCGGGCCCAGCCTGGCGCAGTATTGACAGAAAGTGCACAATGGAAGCAAGCACTTTTGTATCCAAAATACAACCAGTATGCTAAACAAGCAGCATCAGAATGACAGTGTACAATTTCAGAATAAGGTGAATGAGTCACATGAACAACATGAATAAAACTTTATAGAACTCCCGTGGTTTTTGCATAGAACATATCTTCATTTATGGCATGCACGTGGGCATAGCGCATAGAGCACTCACAGGAAACTAACATGGGAGGGGATTGCACAGCTTGCAAAGACCGTGTAATATGTGCCTTATTTGCATAAGATACAGTATACAGGAACTTTTCCTTTTTTGTGGTCATTCTATTTCATAATTTAAAGGTTCTGGGTTTTTGTTATATTTCTCTTTTGAGGAAATTGTTTTAATATATCATTTTTAATGTTCTCAAACAAGGGTGAATTCTAGGTTGTTTTTTCCTTCACATTCCTTCTTGTTTTTCATTCATCTAGTAGTTATTAAGTAGCCAAAAATGTTGAGAAGTTGCCCTCTTCAGAAGAGTGTGTGTGTGTGTGTGTGTGTGTGTGTGTGTGTGTACGTGTACCATTGAGTTGGAACCGACCCATAGCTGAGCCTCCAGTGGGTTTTCAGAGGCCTTCATCACTCTGCAGGAGACTGCCCATCCTTCTCCCGTGGAGTAGCTAGTGGCCTTGAACCACATGCCTTCCGGATTGTAGCACAGCTTTTTGCCACTAGGCCACCAGAGCTCTCTTCTTCAGAAGTAGCCAGGTTGTTTTGAAACTAACACTTTTGCTGTGTTCTCTAGGGTCTTCAAGACGAAGCTGAGAGCAGTGAAGGAATTTGGGAGAAACTCCGGGAAGTTCTTGGTAAACTAAAAACTTACTGCCCTTCAGCTGCTGACATTATTGACGAGAAATGCCAAGATACTTATTCAAGGTACTGTGAAGATAAAAATTTGAATTATTGTCAAATCGTCATGTCATTTCAGCTCATGGCTTCTTGTAGCACAGAGTAAAACTGTCTCTCTTAGGGTTGGTTTGTTGTTTTTTTTTAAATAAAATTTTATTTTGTGATTTTAATGAAAGTTTATAGAGATAGTTAGATTTTCATTTGTTCATTATTACACATTTTACCCCTCTCCTTCTCATCCCCCTCCCCCTGTTCACTTATTTTTTTAAATACGCGTTCATTGTTGCACAATTACTTCCCTCTCCCCCTTCCCCCTCCCCCGGGCCCTCTTATTCTGGGCTATTGTCATATGTAAAATGCCTAATCATATATTTTAGACAGTTCTTACCTTCATCTGTTCCAATGCAATGATCATTATCTATTCACTCCTATCCTATTCTCCTCCCAGGCCCCTCCCCATGTCGGACCTGCTTTATCACAGTGGTGCTATGCAATATTTGTCCTTTTGTGACTGAGATATTTCACTCAGCATAATGTCCTCCAGGGTCCCCCATGTTGTATAATGTCTTACAAGTTTCTCAGTGCTGAGTAGTATTCCATTGTATAAATATACCATAGTTTTTTCTCCATAGGAGATCGTCTTTGCAGAAGAATATTGACAGGTTTATTATTTATTCCTCATTGCAGTGAAGAGTTTGAACCTTTTGGTTAGCAACTGAACCAAATAGTGGCCCCATTGTACCCCCAGAGCTCCTTGACAATTTGAGTAATAGATCTAATGGGTTTATCTTACTGTCGTATGGTGAATGAACTGCCTCACCTTTGGAAAAGGCAACCTCATGTACAAAACAAAATCCTGTGTCATCCTCATAAGCTCTGTTGTGTTTAAGTCCATTGTTGCAGTGACTAACTTAGCCCATCTCATTGAGAGTCTTCCTTTCCTTTACTGACCTGCCACTTTTCCAAGCGTGATCTGTTTTTGTTGGGTACTGTCAAGTTTGAGCTGACTCATAACTGATCTTCCAGTGGGTTTATCTCATCAACCTGGAAATGCCTAATTATAGTCCCAATGTAGCCACCTGTAGATGATGTAGACTAGCTGCCCCTTGCCATCTTCACAAACACTAAACTTGGCAACAGAGGCACATGAAGGGGGGGCATCAAACAGGCAGATACATAAGGACCATTCAGACATCACTGAAACTTTTTATGATGAGGAAAAAAGAGGATATTAAATACCTCACAAGGAGATGACTTTTGTGGCAGAACATCCACAAGCTGCTTCTAGTGGAGCAGAAAAGTTTCTTCTAAGAAAGTTGGCTTAGTTAATTGCAAAGCTTTCATTTTGCAGAGTGGGATAGAAAAGGTGGAGCCAGAGCTGATTTGTTCCCATCTCCCAATGAAGAGGTTAAGCTTCAGTGACCACCCTACCCACCTGCCCTCCCTCCACACAGATTCAGCCTCTCCTGTAAGCCAACTTTGAGCAGATGTTTAAAAGATCATCAAAATACACATCCTGTGGTAGAATCTTCAGATCTTGATCCAACCTTGAGTAGAAGAGGGAGAAAGAGGAACATGGAAATTTATCTGAACCCACCACCAATAAGCGACATCATGATAAATGGAGAAGACATTGAAATTGTCAAGGATTTCATCTTACTTGAATCCACAGTTAACATACTTGGTACCAGAAGATCAAGAGTCACACTTCGTTGGGCAAGTGCATTGTCAGGAACCTCTCCCAAATTACTGAGAAAGACCGATGTTTCTTTCAAGACTTCATGTTATTATGTGCTGTCGAGTCGCTTGCAATTCATAGCAACCCTGTGTTCAAGAGCCTTAAACCTTGCTCTGTGCCAATATCACTGTCTCTGACACACCTACTCCCATTACCCCAGTCACTGAATTGATCCATCTTATCGAGGGTCTTCTTCTTCTTCTGCGCTGTCCCTCTACCCCCAAAAACTAGTTCCTCTCCAAGGACTAGTCCCTCCTTGCAACATGCCCAAAGTATGTCAGACGAAGCTTCAGAATCCTTGCTGCCAAGGATCAGCCTGGCTTCACCCTCTCCAGGACGAACCTGTTTGTTCTCCCAGCAGTCCATGGTATATTCAACACTCTTTTCCAGCACCACAACTCAAAGGCTTCAATTCTCTTTCTGTCATCCCTAGTCACTGTCCAGCTCTCTGACAATTGTGAAGACTATGGCCTGGATCAGGTGTACCTTAGTCTCTAGCCTGATGTCATTGCTCTTCAGTACTCTGGACTTAGATGTGCCTAATTCAGGCCATGGTCTTTTACGTCACTTGCCATGCTTCTGAGAACTAACCAATGAATATGAATGACAAAAGAAGACTTGATGCCTTTGAGTTATAGTGTTGGAAATGAGTGCTGAGCATCCCATGGCCTTCCAAAAGAACAGATAGGTCTTGGGGAAAGTGCAGTGAGAATACTTCTTGGAGGTAAAGATGGTGAAGTTTCATCTCCTGTACTTTGGATATGTTGTTAAGAAGGCTGTTCCTTGGAAAGAAAGATCATACTTGCAGCAGTAGAGAGTCAACAAAAGAAAGTCCCTCATTGAAGAGGATTGACACAGTGACTGCAGCAGTGGACTCAAAAGTGTCAGAGATCATGAGAGTGGTACAGGGTTCAGATCTGTCGTCCGTAGGGTTGCTATGGGTCATGCTCGACTCAACCGTACATAACAACAACAAAAACAATCTTGGCCTGGCCTCAGAACATGGAAGGTGCTGTTTGCTAGTAAAGGAACTTAAACACTTGTGCACTTGCACGTATATTGTTAGCACAGAAATACATTGGAAGACATGTCACAAAAGGATTCAAGAAAATAACATTATAATAATAATCTAGATGAAGAGATAAGAGTTGATTTTTGTGTGGGTTGGGTTGTTTTATCTTTATTTTTTAATTTATTATTAATTTCAATGAAAATTTACAGAGACTGATTTCCATTCATGCATTTTTGCACTTTTTCCCCCTTCCAACCCTACCCCCCTAGTACACTACCCTCTTGGAAAAGTAAAAGAAAAAATTATTTCATGTTTTACAATCCCTCCTCTCCAGGTCCACTCTACTATGTAGCCTTCGCTCTGGACTCCTGTCATGACAAAAATACCCAATCACATATCCCTTTTAAACAGTTTTCTCCCTCATCTGTTTCAAGCAGTATACATTATTGAACCCATCTTTCTTAGTCTATCCCCAACCCCAATGTAAGTCCTGTTTTACAACAGTGGCACCATGCAGTATTTGTCCTTTTGTGACTGAGATACTTCACTCAGCATATTGTCCTCCAGGGTCACCCATTTTGAATAATATTGCATGAGTTCCTTGTTTTTCAATGCAGCATAGTATTCCCTTGTGCAAATATACCAAAGCTTCTCTATCCATTCATTTGTTGATGGGCACTTAGGTTGTTTCCAACTCCTTGCTATTGTGAACAAAGCTGCGATAAACATGGGTGTGCATATATCTGCTTGGATGGCAGTTTTGGTCTCTTTGGGGTATATTCCCAGTAGTGGAATTGCTGGGACAAATAGTATCTCTATTTGCAACTTTTTGAGAAAGTGCCATACTGCCTTCCACAGTGGTTGCACCATTTTACACACTCACCAACAGTGAATAACACAGTTTCTCCACAACCAAATAACAGTTTCTCCACAACCTCACCAGCATTTTTTGCTTGCTGTTCTGTTAAATTTTTTTATTCTTACTGGGGTGTGATGATATCTCATAGTTGTTTTGATTTGCCTCTCTCTTAGAGCTAGGGATTTTGGACATTTCTTCATGTGCTTGTTGGCCATCTGAATGTCTTCTTTGGTGAAGTGTCTGTTCATATCCTGTGCCCATTTTTCAATTGGATTATTTACCTTTATCTTGTTTTGGTGAGGTTGGGTTTTTTTAAATAAAGTTTTTATTTTATACTCATTTAGTTACAAAGTTCACCTACATTGTTTTTCAAACTGAATATTTCCCATTTCCTTTACCCATCAAATATGGGACCCTCTAATTACCCTTCCCCACCCATCCTCACCCTTCTGCTCCTACCCTCCCTCGCTTGGATCCTCATATACATTCGGGATTTGGTTTTTTGTTGTTGGTTTGGGTTTTTTTTTATATTTTAATGAGTGTTTATAAAGAACTTGGACTTCCATTCATTCATTGTTGCACATTTTCCTCCCTGCCCGCATCACCCCAGTTCACTTTTTTCTTTGGGAAAAAAAGTTCTTTCATTTGTTATACAGTGTCCTCTCCCAGCCTGGACCACTTTACTATGCAGCTCTTATTCTGGACTCCTGTCATGCCAATAATACCTAATCATAAATTCCTTTTATACAGTTCTCTCCCTCATCTGTTTCAGTGCCTATGTAGGTGAAAAATGATATTAATTTTTTTCAAGATTTTTCTTCATAAATACAGCATATTCTTACTGTAAAACAAAATAATTACTAAGAAAACATGTTTGCATACATATGTGTATTGAACAAAAAGTAAGCCCATGTTTTTATGTATATTTTTTAACAAAAAATATACATTTGTATGTAAGCATCATGTTTTCTTAGGGAATTTTTTGTTTTACAATAAGCATGTATATTTCTAATAAGGGGAATATCTTGGAAAAAAATAATCCGTTTTCCACCAGTTAGCAAGGTTTAAAATAATGTGAAACCATTACTTTCATATGCTTATGTGAGAACATAAATACTGAAATTACTTCCCGAAGGCAGTATGACAATATGTGTAAATAGCCTTACAAATATTTGTATTCTTAGACAAAGCTCTTGAAATAAAACCTTTTGCACAAAGAAATATCTAAGCATTATATATAATGTCAAAAATTGAGAATTGCTTTAAACTGAGAAGTTACAGTAAATAAAAAGCAAGCCAATCTATGCAGTCATTTAAAAATATGTTTACTCATTCCCTATTACAATGAATAAGGATGGCATACTCAACCAGATGGCTTGACACAGTAGCTGCTACAATAGGCTCCAGTGTGTTGGGAAGTATGAGGATGGCACAGGATAATTCAGGATTCAGATCTGATGTTCATAGGGTCACTATGAGTCAGATTTTGCTTAACAGTACCTCACAACAACATCCTCTATTAGTAACATGGGATTTCTTTTAAATAGGGAGAGAAACGCAAGATACTATAGTCTGTATATGAAATAACTCAAAGAAAATAGTGCTTTTATCATTAGACAATCTACTCTATTTACATAAATACAATTGACTAATGTACCCAACGGCTAATTGAGGAGTTGGAGGTTCAGATCCACCCAGAGACATCTCTAAACACAATCCTGGGACTCTGCTTTCTAAAAAACTCAGCCAGTAAAAACTATGGAACACATCAGATCTTTACTGTCCTTTGTCTTTCCCGTCACCCCATCATCTATTCCCTAATCTGTGCTCCCTTTCTCCCACCCTCCCATTCTTGTCAATCCTCCATAATTATTTCCATCTTTGTGTAAACTTTCCCTTAGCCTTTCTGCCTATCAGTCATGCACATCCTGTTCCACAGTGTTAATTACAATATGCACAGTGTCTGATCAGCCATGTGTTTCATGTTGACCTTCGCCTTCACCTATTCCAATAAAGTGTTGCTTATCAATCCACTCATTTCCTACTCTGTCCCCCACCCCATAACCAGGCTATTTTTTTTTTTACTGCATGCAATAAATATAGTTGGCATTCACAGGTTTTACAATATTTTGTTGAGTATTAAAATTGAACCAATAGCTTAATTTAGATGTTTTTATTCATGAAATGTTGATATTTTTTTAAGGCGGTTGACAAGGACTGCTCATCTGCTATGAGGTTGCGAGTAGCGTTTGTTCATGGCAGTTTTGCTCTAAAGGGAGGATGGCATGGGAATCCCACGGTTCATGTTGTGCACACAGGTGGACCCAAGTGAACCAAGCCATCGCAGACCAGCTGCAGAGAGCGCAGAGTCTGCTGCAGCTCTTGAAGGCATATAGCAGTGCTCACGCCGAAGCCTCAGCTAGGCTGGAGCAACAGGAAGCAAGATATCAACAGCTTGCAAGCATCAACATGTCTGGAAACAACCTGGCTGAAATCCTGCCCCCAGCCCTGCAAGATATACAGGTTAGTGCAGAGTTCTTTGGGTAGACCATAGTCAAACAGACCAGCCAGTGAAAGATGGATGTGGCCTAGACAGACAACAGATACGAGGATCATCTAGAAGAGCAAGGCCAGAAGGTGTGTGGTTGGGAGGAGCAGGTAGCAGGTAGGAGGAGAGAGCTGCAGTCAACAGGTAGCAGGTAGGTAGTTGATCAGGAACCAAACACTACGTCAGCCCAGGCTACCTCATCATCTTCCAGTTCAGTCTTGTCAATAATAGCCGGTTGATCAATTTCTTTACTGAATGTGACCTATGAATAATACATCTTGAATCCTTGGCATTAGACGTAATCATGGACTTGGTGCCTGTGTTGGTGTGGTTTCTCTGTGGGCACAGTGATTTTTTTAAATAATATCTAAGAGTTGCATAATTTCAAACATTCTTCTAAGTGGTGTAGCACTGGTCTGTCCATTTGCTGTACAGAGGTAACTCATGGTTGCTGTGATGCTAAACACTGTGACACTGAAGTGTCAAATGTGATGACGGTTACCCATGGTGAATGGTGTTAGGTGAAGCTCCCCGATTAAAACAAGCTTGGAAGCAGGAGTGGCATCCTCTTCCAAAACAGCTTGCCTCTGGAAACTCTGTGAACTTGGAGAAATGATGAAAGTTATACAAGTGTTCAGGTCTTTCATTTATTGGGTCACTATAAGTCTGTGGCTCGACGGCACTTAACAACAGTGATTTCCTAGGTGGGCAGTTTTTGGTTTTATTTTCTCTGATTATTGTTAATGAAGATCTAGAGAGTGAATGAATGAATACTTTTTGTCTTTAACTTGGTGACTAGATGTGTTTTGTATCTTCTGAGTCAAATTAAAAGATATTAGCCACTTATTATGCATCAGAGAGTTGGACAATGACTAAGGAGGATAGAAGGAGAATTAATGCCTTTGAGCTGTGGTGCTGGAGAAGAGTATCGAATGTTCCATGGACTGCTAGGAAAACAAACAGATTCATCCTGGAAAGGGTTAAACTGGGTGGCTCCTTGGAGGCAAGGATTCTGAGGCTCCATCTAACATACTTTGGACATGTTTGTGAAGAGAGACTGGTCCTTGGAGAAGGACATCATGCTTGGGAGGGTGGAGGGACAGCGCAGGAAGGGAAGGCCCTCTATGAGGTGGATTGATTCAGTGACTGGGGTAATCGCAATGGGAGTGTCAGAGACAGTGCAAGTGGCACAGGACAGAGCAAAATTTAGGGCTGTTGTACATAGGGTCGCTATGAGTCGCAAGCGACTTGACGGCATATAACAACAACAATTAGAGAAAAATAGCCAGATATCTGGTAGATATTCCCGTCAATGTCTACCTTGAGTTAGTTTTTAAAAATGTAAAGAATAAATAAACAAAAACACTTCACTGTAAATCTCACACACATCATATTGCAAAAACAGCTATCCCGTCAATAAGCTTGGTAAGATTCTCTAGTCCCTGCAGAGGAAGTCTCCCATAGGGAACAGTTTGCACTGATTCTGGAAATGGGACAGACCTGTTAAACTGTTTGTTGTCTTGCACCATCAAGTCAGAACTGACGCATAGCTGACCCTCCAGTGGATTTTCAAAGGCAGGTTATCACACAGGAGGAGATTTCGTCCTCTGAGCAGCTGGTGGATTCGAACCACATGCCTTTGAAGTTGCATTGCACCTTCTTACCACTAGAGCTCCCTGTTAAATGACATTAGAAATTTAAAACATGGGACAGGACTTCACCTACCTCTAAGTTAGAAAGCATCCCTCTGCTAACTACTGGTGAGTTTCAGCTCTCAACTGGCAATTTTCAGAACATGGTATTAGGTACAAGGGCCTACATCATATAAAGAAAATTAACCTTTTTTTAAAAACTCTGTGAACAATAGTAACAAAAAGCCACAAGCACAGTTTTCAAGTCATATTTCCCCTAGACATGGATGAGATGGCAGGATGGGGAGTTGTGGTATGGAGGAGGTTGGAATGCTTGTGATGACATTTCTTCTCTTCAGGAGCTGCAGCACGATGTGCAGAACACGAAGGAAGCCTTTCTCCTGAACGCCACTCTCCTCGAGCAACTCCCTCCATCCTCCACAGAGGCCAGCCCCTGCCTGCTCCTGTCTGGGCAGTCACACTCCCTCCAAAGGGCTTCTTATTTGGAAAAGATGCTGCTAGTGAAAGCAAATGAATTTAAGGTTCTTATTCTCTCTTCCTTTCTAATTGTAGTTTTGGACATTTGTAGAGTGCCCCTAAGCCCCCTGGAGTCTGTGAAGCAATTAGCTTGTGCTTTGTGGACTGCTCCCTAGGAAACTAGACAGCAGATCTGCCCTCTGAGTGTCTACCATTTGACGTGATAATAGCATCAATCACATGGACAACAGGCAGACCTTAGGCAGCTCTTTTTTATGGAACGTGTTTGTTTAAGAAGTGATACATTATCTTGCATGCTCTGTTCAGATCTCACAGTCGTTTTCACTCTGCAAGTGGGCTAATTGAGTTCTAGAAGTAGCTGCTTCAAGCATAGCCTTATGTTATGTTGTTTGTTCACTTTTTGAAAAGCCTTTAGGAGCTGAGCTGTCAAGAAGGCTGTGGACTACTGAGTTAGTCTCAGTACTAACCAGGGGGGAAAATTGAACCCACAGAGCAGAGTTGTCACTAGCACTGCCCTTCGTACCCCCTCAGGCAGGTGGCCAGTTCATCCGGCAGAGTATTTGCCAAAGGCTCGAAGTGAAAACTAAGATTATAAAGAGATACTGGGAGTTGAAAACAACTTGAACTTTGATCAGTTCCCAAGACCAGACTGTGCTTAATGCTGTTATATATGCACATGAAAATTGCTTCTAATGAAAATTTCTTTTGTTCTAGTTTGTTCTCTCACAATTTAAAGATTTTGAAGACCGCTTAGAGTTGCTTAAAGGTCTGATTAAGCATGAAGAAGAGAATTTGGGTAAACTCTACCAGCAAGAAAAAGAAGAACATCCTGAATCAATCATGGTATTAGCTGTTTTTTTATTTTCTGAAGTCTTAGAATCACCACAGAATCTTTTTAAAGCTAATTGCTATCCACTAATAGCATTTATTTGCATCCTAATTAATTTCAAGCACATTTACTTGCATTCACTGTTGCATTGGTTTTTTCCTAAATCTAGAAAAGTTTAACGGCATAAAGAGAGCTCTATCATTTGCCACAATAATTTTTAGTAGATACTTTTTAATCTGGTTGGTTTCAGTGGCTGTTGTGACTGATGAAATTTTTCTGGCTATTTGAAAATCAAAAGTAAAAGCTCATCTTAACACATGGCTGACATGTCAGTTCTGACTCATAGCTGATTCTCCATTCATTTTCTGAAACTATAATTACACTACCCATCTCTCTCCCTGGGAACCACTAGTATATTCAAACCACCAAAGAAATGAAGGCTTCGGTTAACTGCACAACTTCCTATGGACTGTGCCACTAGAACTCTTTATTTCTTCCCTGTTTATCTCAATAAATGTAGTATAGTTAACAAATGCATTTAAGAATATGGAGGTTTGCAACTGTGAATGATTACTATTCATTACTTGGATTGTGGATAATGATGATGATGGTGTTGTTATAATATACCATCAGGTCAGAACCAACTCATAGCTGACCCTACAGAAGGTTTTCAGAAGCAGTTTAATTGCGCAGGAGGAAATTGACTTTCTCTTGCAGAGCAGACGGTGGGTTCAAGCCCCATGCTTTTGTGATGGCAATGCAGCTTCTTACCAGTAGGCCACCGGAGTGCCCTACTAGAGTTCTCTGTCACCTAGATTGTTGTTGTTGTTGTTGTGTACCATAGTGTCAGAAGTGACTCAGAGCTGACCCTCTAGCAAGTTTTCAGAGGCGGTTAATCGCACTGGAGGAGATTTCCCATCTTTCTTCTGTGGAGCAGCTGGTGGCCTCAAACAGTGCGTGTCTTTGGAATTGCAGCACAGCTTCTTGGCACTAGGCCACCACAGCACTAGAATAGGAGTCAATAAACTATGGGCTGTTGTCCAAATCTAGGCTGCCACTTGCATTTGTAAATAAAGTTTTATTGGAACACAGCCATGCACATTCATTTTCTTCTTTTTTACAGAGAATGGTATACCTTTGCAGCAAAGACCACTTGGCCCACAAAGCTTAAAATATTTATAATCGAGATATTTATGGAAAAAGTTTCCTGACTCTGACCTCTAGACTACTATTCTGTTGACCAAGAGGCTGTCACCATATAATACTAAGATTATCTTCAGTGTTAAATTTCTATCTGATTTTAGATGAACCACAGGATATGTTAAAGGTCAAGTTGTTGTTAGATTGAATAGAATTTGAAGGTCCAGAATTTTTCATATTAGAAAAAAGTATTTTTACCTCTTTCTCAGAGATACATTCTGGGCTGTTCTAGTGCTGACTATGTGTACAGCTTGTGTTCTAGAAAGGGCACGGGTTTGAGAGACCTGGGTTCTAGGTTTAGGTCTGCCACTAATTCATTATTTGACCTTGGGAAAAATATTTCTTTCTTTAGACATCAGGTGTAGCATATAGGATGTCTGGGGTTTTTTCCAACATCTAGATATTTTTGCTGCATTCAAAAACTTGGTTGTTTGATGTGAGTTTGTTTTTGTTTTTTTTTTTAAATAGAATCATGTGCTGGCACTAACAGCCCAGTTACCAGATATTGAACATTTGAATGAAGTCAGTCTCAAGCTGCCGCTTAGTGACATCACTGTGAAGACATTACAAAATATGAACCGACAGTGGATCCGGACCACAGCGACAGCACTGGAACGTTGCAGGTCGGAACACCCTCTATCATTCTGTTTCAAATAAGAGAAGAGGACAGTGTCATCATTATGTGACTCTCTTCTTTTTAAACCTTTATAGTGAGCTTCAGGGAATTGAGTTGAATGAGAAGTTTCTTTATTGCTGTGAAAAGTGGGTCCAACTTCTGGAGAAGATGGAAGAGATGCTGCAGGTGAATGTCCCCTGCAGTCTTCACTCCCTTCTGGAGCAGCAGAAATCGTATGAGGTAAAACTATGCTTTTTACCTACCTTTTCACACCTCTCTCTGGGACAGGAGTCAGGGAAAAATAAAATACAGGGAGTACCTATCAGTCCCTAAATGTAGGATGTGGATCTTGAAGCAAACTTAGTTGTCTGTTGATTGTTTGTAAAATTGTCATGTTTTCATAAATTCCAACATTCTGTTGTATTGTTCTACTTTAATGGTGACAGCACCTCTACATTTTCTGCAGTAAATGGAAACATCTGGAATAAATTGCTTATATAAATATATGTAAGCATTATATAAACACTATTTTTCCAAGAGCATGTTAAATACTTTGACTCAATGTTATAGCTTGACTAATCCCCCAAATATTAGAGCATCAGCGGATGTAATAATAATTGCAGCATAAATAATTTTATAGACTTTCCACCTATGCTTATGCTAATACATATTTAGAAATATTCCTGGTAGTCCTAGGCTACTCCTGCATTTCAGAATTATTCATGATTTACTCACTGTACCTGCTTTAAGATCATACAGTGAAAATTAAATCACCCTGCCAAAATCTAGGTGGCATTAAATAAATTGCTGAGCTTCTTTATGCTTTACTTTTCTAACGTTGTCAAATGGATATAATAGTATATACATTCTAAGGTTAAAGAGTAAATGAGAGAGTGCATATATTACAACCACATCTACAAAACAAAAAACAACACAAAAAACCCCACCAAATCTCCCCCAAAACAACCAAAAATCCATTGTCATCATATTGATTCAAACTCTTGGCAACCATGCATTGGGTTTCTGAACATGTATTGCACTACCCCACAAGGACTCCTGTATATTACAGAGTGCATAGCAGATGCTGTTGTTGTTGTGGACTATCAAGTCGGAAGTCTTAGTTGACCTTCCAGCAGGCTGTCAGAGGCAGTAAATTGCACAGGTCGCCAGCACAATTCGATAGCACTGTGATAAGAAGCTGAGCTGAATCCACCAGCTGCTTTGCAAGAGAAGGATGGGCAGACTCCTCCCATGCAGTTTACTGCCTCTAAAAAGCTGCTGGAGAGTCAGCTATGGGTCAGTTTCAACCTGATAGCATACAATAGCGGGCCACCAGTTATGCACCAAAGAAAAGAGAATATAAGTGCTACTGGAAGCAGGAGTAGCATCCAGTTCCTAAACCACATGCCTCTGGAAACTATGAACTTGGAGAAAAGACGATAGTTATAGGAAGGCTTCAGGTCTTTTTTCTAGAGTCACTATGAGTCGTGCTCAACTCGGCCGCAATCAACACCACCACCACCACAACGACATTGCTGTTATAGTTGGAGCACTCTGGTGACCGAGTGAATAGGGAGTTACACTCGCAACTTAGAAACAAGCAGTTTCATTCCACCAGCTGCTCAGTGGGAGAAAGATGAGCAGTCTCCTCTCATTTGGTTTACAGCCTCTGAATACCAACTAGAAAGGGATCTCTGGTGGCCTAGGGACAAGAAGCTGTGCTGCAATCCTGAAGACTCATGCTTTGAATCCACCAGATGCTTTGCTGGAGAAGGAAGGGCAATCTCCTTCTGTGCCAGTCAGATCTGATTTGATGGCATACAACAATTACCAAGAAAAGAAAGGGGGGGAGAGAGAGAAGAAAGAGGGAGGGAGAGAGGAAGGAAGGAAGGGAGGGAGGGAGGGAGGAAGGAAGGAAGGAAGGAGTTCTAAAAAAAAAGAATTTTTTTTAAAAATTCAATCCACTAGAGGGCCAGCTATGAATCAGTTCTGTCTTGATAGCAATGAGTTTGATGGTTCGAGTCTTACATTGTTTTTTTTTTTTTTTTTTTTTAAACAGTCCCTCCGTAAGGACTATCCACTTAGCTTTGTATCCAAAGACGAAATTTGTAGGTGAAAGGAGTTAGCCTTCATTACAGACTGGTTAATTTCAGGGTTGAAAATATGGAACGCTTCACAAATTTGCGTGTCATCCTTGCGCAGGGGCCATGCTAATCTTCTCTGTATCGTTCCAATTTTAGTATATGTGCTGCCGAAGCGAGCACACATTGTTATTTTTAAAACTAAGTTCAGTTAATGTTGATAAGATGGTTAAACATTTTTGGCAGTTGTTGTTATGTACCATTGAGTAGGAACCAACACATGCTGACCCTCCAGAAGGTTTTCAGAGGCAGTTAATTGCGCGAAAGGAGATTGCCCATCCTTATCCCACTGAGCTATTGGTGGATTTGAACCACATTGCGGCACAGCTTCTTGCCACTAGGCTACCAGAGCTCCAATTTAAGCTCAAATAATTTGAAAATGAATCATGTTACATACCCTCTGTGATTTTATGTTACAGGAAATGGGACTTTCCTTTTTATTCAATATAGTAGCTGATGTCTTATGTTTTGATGTATCTGCAGATGTTAGCCGCTGAAGTTTCTATAAACCAGACGGTTGCTGATTGTTTTGTCACCCAGTCCTTACAACTCCTGAACACAACAGAAGTAGAAAAGAGGTAAGCCATGTGGACTGTGATGATTTTAGGTACAAGGAGCATATTGTAGTCAGGCAAGCCTTCCTTCTACCCTGCTGTCCCACAAAGGAAAACGACTCCTTCAGGTTCCAAAGTAAATCTTTACAGGAGAAAACTGGCTTTCTCCCACAGACGGTCTGGTGGGTTTGAACTGCTGACTTTTCAGTCAGCAATACAATATGCCATGCACTATGTCACCAGGGACCATATTAGTTGATAGAGCACAATGGGACTATTCTTACTGTATCTCATGACATTGTCTTGCTCTGTAGCCATTAAAACATCTGGGTCACTTTCCTTGAGAATGTTATGTGGAGAAGCTTAACAGATCTGAAACTTTGCAGGTCCATTTGTCAAGCAGATTTATCGAAGTTCTAACTCAAAATTATTTTTCTGTATTATACTTTTCTCTTTTTAATCACCCTTATTCAAACACCTTTGAAGTGTTACTGTTCCCAGCAAGTAACTGTGTCCCAGTTGTGAAAGAAGGGGATTCTCACCACATTTACATTCATGAGGTTGGGGTCACCAGGTGGCATGAGGCTCAGCTGAGCAGAGGCCCTTTGCCTATCCTGCTGGTACGGCTGTTGTGTGGGGTAGACGGAGTCAGGAAGGAGATTCACTGCTTAAATATTTCTCCAGACATCTGGTAGGCATTGTTTTTTCTTCCCATCACCACCCACATAGCTCTGGTTCTTATTCCAACTTCAGAAATAATAAGTTCAGGCTACTTGCACAGTGGTAAGACAGTTTTGATAAGTAAGGCAAAGCAGGACTCCCCCCCCCCCATAATTTCTAAAATGCTTTTAAAATAAAAAGTCGTATGGTGAGTGTTACTTGTGTGGGAAAGAAGCCCTGGTGGAGCAGTGGTTGGCACTCGGCTGCTGACTGAAATATTGGCAGTTTGAACCTACCCATAGGCTCTGTGGTAAAAAGAGCTGGGAATCTGCTTCTGAGAAGATTCCAGCCTCCCCCCGCTCCCCACCCAATGTGAAGATCAGCTTTCAGCCAAACAAACAGGCTTATAAAGGGAATAATAATGCCAGGAAACAACATACTCCTCAGTACGGTCAACTATGTTGTTGTTAGGTGTTGTTGAGTGGGAACCAACTCCCAACTGACCGTCAAGGGCATTTTGAGAGGCTGTGAATCACACAAGAGCAGTGTGCCCTTCTTTCTCCCACAGAGCAGCTGGTGGATTTGAACCACATGACTTTCAGGTAGCAGAGCAACTCTTTACCCACTAGGCCACCTGAGCTCCCTATAATCAACTATGTTGTTGTTGTGTACTGTCAAGTCAGATCTGACCCATAGCTGACCCTCCAGTAGGTGGTCAGAGGCAGTTGATTGCGTGGGAAGAGATTGCCTGTCCTTCTCCCCAGGAGCAGCTGGTGGATTCAAACTGCATGCCTTCAGAATTGCAGCACGGCTTCTTGCCACGAGGCAACATTTGACCAAAACAAGCTTGCAAGACAAGAAGGGTCAGGAAGGAAGGATAAATGGAAAAGGAACACTTGGTGGAATTGGGAGGAGTGTTGTTCTATCAAGGAGATTGCAGCCAATGTAATGAATTAAAATGTTATAAATTGCTAAATGGAAAATTAATTTGTTCTGTAAATTTTCACCCACATGATCAAAACAAGTGGAGAGAAAAAAATATTACAACCTAGAAAACCTTCTGGGCCACTTCTGCTCTGTCACGTGGAGCTGCTCTCAGCTCACTTGCGCCCAGTGATACTTATTGGGGAAGAGCTAGTTGAAGAGCTGCAAAAAACCCAGACTCACTGCTGTCAGCTTTCTTCCAATTCATAGCAACTCTGAAAGTCAGAGCAGAACTGCCTCAGGTTTGCCAAGGTTACACATCCTTGTAGGAGTAGACTGCCTCATTTCTGGCTGTGTAAACTACAAGTCTCATCTAATTGATGGCGTTACAAAGTATTAACCTGCATTCCTTTCCCACTGCTCTATTTTCTAATTTTCCACACAGCATTCCATATGTTAAAATAGCATCTCTTTGTTTGTGGAATGACTGGTGTGCATGCTGGCAAAACCAGATCACATAGAAACATCTTTTGCTAAATCCTTCTTCACTAATTCACAAGCTGCCCCTGGCCAGTGCCCCCATCATGTGTAAATTGAATGGTTCTCAGACTATAAGCCATTTTTTCTCACCTATGTAAATGGCAAATGTGAACTTCTGTTACCTGCTGGTGGTTATTTTTTTTCTGTACTTTCCTGTCAAGATCCACTATAGATAATAATTGGCTCACTAACCCTCTCTTTTTACCAAGACCGGAGTTTGTTTTGCAATTCACAATGCTGAAGGACAGGTGGCAGAGGGCTGCCCAGAGAGTTCAGCAGAGGAAGCATGACATCGATGGGCTGGTGAGGCAGTGGCAGTACCTCAGTGCCTCTGTGGAGGACTCACTCCGCTTCCTCAGCGACACCAAACACCTGCTTTCTGCAGTGAGCATCCAGGATTGCTACAGTCTCTACCAAACCAGAAGTCTGATCCATGCGTTTAAGGTATGCCACGCACAGGGCCAGAGTCAACACGGCGTTCAGGGTGGTGGCTGTTTGTAAGATGTTCGCTTACCTCAAGTTGAATATTTTCTACACTGTCATAGTTAAAATGTGCTCCAGGCAGTGGGGAAACCAGCAGCGTGGGATTCCCACAATCCACAGGCTGATCCTCATTCTCTTGGAGTCAGAAATCTAAACTTCTCCATTCATCGACAAGTAATGAGGTTCTCTTGGGCCAGAGGATGAGTAAATGTGAGATGAGTAACAATGGATCAGTGGTGTCAGGGTGACAGTATTATGCTACTCAAGCACTTCAGGAAGCAGCTAATAAATGGACCATTCATGTTGCTATTTAAAGTTAGAGTCCTGCTTACTCTTGAAAGGCAAATTTATTTAAGACCACAAATTTTCTATGACACAGTGGCCTGGTGATCATAGATCATAGAATTAGTAAGCTATCCACTGAGCTGTAATTCTTTGTGTGAGAGGTACACCTAAACCAAACACCCTTCTGAAATGCTGTGCTTCCCCCATTTGTTTATCTGTTTATCAGAAAGTGCATTGAGTGTCTGCTGGGTGTCAGATGATGGCTTCATGGGACATCCCAGTTACTTGGCTTAACAATGTATTTAGTCTACCTCCCAGTCCACTATATGGTCCATGAGGTCCTAAAAGTTTCCATGCAGGCATCCAAGACACAACGATTGGTTTCTACTCAGCTGGAGCAATAGAGAAAGAAGAGAGTTAGAAACTAAAAGAGGAAATGGAGTGTGTGCCCCATTGTTTATTAGAACAACTGCTTCCTTTGCTATGAGACCAGAAGAACCGGAGTATACCCAGATATATTACTGAACATTTTGATCAAAGATTTCATAAGAGTCATGACCAAAAGGGAAAAAGTGCAAAACAGAGTCCTAAATTTTTATGGAGTCTATATTTTCTGGAGTTAGGAAGGTTGGATGAATCCTTGAAACTTTTGTCCTGAGATCATCTTGAAAACAAAAATATCCCATAAATTATTTAAACTAGACAGTAGTTTAACTAGTTTAAAAAAAATCTGAGCATTATGCTCCTAAAACCTATGTATATTCTCAACAACAAAATAAATTATAAAAGCAAACCACTCCCTCCCAAAAAAAAAAACAACAAAGGAAGGTAATGAAGAGTTGAGGTTATAGTCTAAATAATGATTAACCCATGATTCAATTAGGACATGAGAAGCCTATGTCCTAATACCGAGAATTTGTAAATATGCTAATCACATCAGCAAAATCCCTTTTGCTTTGTAAATTAAGGATCTTGAAATGGAAGTTTATTCTGGATTATTCAGATGAACCAAACATAATTACAAAGAACTTTAAGGAAACAGAGGGGGAAGGGTGAGCAGGGAGAAAAGTACAACAATGAATGAATGGAAGTCCAAAGTCTCTGTAAATTTTTACTGAAATTAATAATAAATTTAAATTTAAAAAAAAGAAGGAAACAGAAGGGTCAGAATCAGAGAAAATATAAAGATGAAACGTGGAGCTAGAAGGTAAGAGTTTAAAAATGTGGGTGGGGAGCTTCTCAAAGCCGAGATAGTGACTATATCCTCCAGAAGGAGTGCAATGAAATTGACCTCCTGAACTGGAAGATAATAAATGGGTGGTGGTTTAAACCACCAAATTTGTCATTATTCGTTTATAGCAGCAATAGGAAACTAGCTGGTGAAAATCTCAAATGGGTAATTTCTGCAGAGCTAACATTTAAATTGAGGCCTTTGTGATGAAAAGGAGCCAGCTATGCCAAGACCTGGAACAAGAACCTTTGAGTGAGAACAGCTTAGCACCGTGGAGAAATGGACAGGTCAGAAATTATTTTGAAAGGCAAGCAGGAAGGAACATTTTGTTGTCAGGGGTGAGGTACTGAGGTAATATTCTTGATGAAATTCAAGGCCTTTGAAAATGTTCAAGGAGGGAAATAATGCTGTGATACACTTTCTATTTTTTAAAGATCAGTCTGGGTGTTCTAAGATGAATAAAATTCTCAAAGGAGAAGTGGGATTGTCTATTCTCTACTGCTACATAATAGCAGTCATTATATTATTATCTCCTGAAGTTCTGGGTATTGATGGAATTAGGTGGTTCCTGCTTAAGATCTCTCACACACAGATTCAGTCACTCTGATGTCCAGCACATAAGCCAAAAGGACTGAGTTACCTAGGAGCTGAACATGTGGAGCTCCTCGGGCGTCATTCTCTGAGTCTGGTCTAAAGCTGCAAGGCTGAAGGGCCTGGAAGTACGCTTTAGAAGCTGCTCTGACTGAAAAGTTGTATCCTATTGCCTACCTGAATAACTTCCCCAATAAATCTCATTATCTGTTAGCTCTTCTAGTAAACCCCATAATTGTATGTTTCTATGAGGTCTGTGTAGCTATTACAATGGACTTCTGATCCAGTAGAGCAGTAACAATGTTACTGGAATTAGTAGAAATAAGTCAGGGGTTTAGGAGACATGTCTGAATCATGGGAATTGGTTTTGTGTTGTGTATGCTGATGATGGGGCATCTGACTCTGAGACCCTATGAACAGCTGACTGAGGCCTTGGCCTATCCTGCGCCATTCTCACAACCTCGAGTGTGCTTAAGTCCAAGGTGACTTGCAAGGTCTCTATGACTTTGCCCTTACAGAATTAGTAGAGGTCAGAATTGGCCATTGCCACGCTGCCCTCACTCTTTTTGACCAGTTTACAAGAATTGCTAAGGGTCTGGATATGGTGGGTAAAAGGAAAAGATAAGGACCACTATAAATCTGAAGCTTGAGCATCTTGATGTTGTTGAGCCAGCTTTGGGTGGGAGCCAGCTCCCAGGCAAGTCAGGGAAGGCCGGAAGGTGAACAAGTCTTTAGTTAAATTTGAGATGACAGTTAGAATAGGAGCCATGGTGGTATGATGATTAAAGCACTCGGCAGCCAACCAAAAACTTAGCAGTTCAAATTTACTAGTGGGAGAAAAATATGGCAGTCTGCTTTCGTAACAATTATAGGTTTTTAACCATAATGGGCAGTTCTGCTGAACCCTGTAGGATAGTGAGGAGCTGACAAAAAGGCAGTGGATTGGTGTGGTGGGGTTTTTTTTAGCTAATGTCAGATCGATTTTGGCTAAAAGTGAGGAGTACCAGAGGAATGTCTATCTGTGTTTCCTAGACTATGTAAAGGCTCTGTAGATCACAACAAACTGTGGCTGACTCTGAGAAGAATGGGAATCCAAGAACACTTGATTGTGCTAATGCGAAACCTATACTTGGACCAGGAGGCAGTCATCAGAACAGAGCAGGGAAACACTACATGGTTCAAAATTGGGAAGAGTGTATGTCAAGGATGTGTCCTATCTCCATATCTTTTCAATCTATGTGCGGAACAGATTATCCAGGAGGCTAGGCTCTATAAGGAGAAATGTAGCATCAGGACTGGAGAAAGACTTATTAACAATCTGCATTATGCAGATGACACAACCCTGCTTGCTGAAACTGAGGAGGACCTGAAGCACTTGTTGCAGAAAGTCTATATCAAGAAACAAATATTCCACCAGATGCT